CACAACCACAATAGTCAAGTTATACCTCCAGATAACAGTATGCCTCCCAATTCCAACACTCGAACAGCCATTCACATTCATGATGATTCCAGTGAGATTCAAAGTGACCCTGAACCAGAAGCCACACCTGGCAATCTCACACCTGAGGGAGGTGAGGATGCGTCCAACAGCCTCCCAAATCAGTTTCCTCAGATGAGGTCAGACAGCTTGCCACCGTTGTCGGCTGAAACAATTGCTGCACCTGTACAGACACCGATCCCCGAAGACGATGACGATGGTCTCATGGTAGAACAGTGTAATTGGTTTGAAGATCTCAACGAGTGTTTTCATCTATCGGAGGATCAAGTCTGGAAACTGGAAGTGGACATCAATCATGCCGACATTGACAAATGGCGACGGGAAGCAGATCCATATGCCATGTCATTTTTGGTGTCAGCAGCCAAGAAACAAAGGAGTGAAGTCAAAATGTCTCAACTCAGTGAGACTGAACGTCAGATGTTCCATCAAGCCAAAATGAAAAAGATTGACAGCTGGCTGGCAACAGAAACCGTGGCAAAGGTTTTAAGACACCAAATCCCTGAGGAGAACATCCTGCGATGCCGATGGATTTTGACATGGAAGCCTGTGGACTCTCCTGGTCCCAAAGATTCCAAACACGTTCCTAAAGCCAGGTTAGTAGTGCTTGGATATGAAGACCCTTTGGTGCATGAGATACCACGTGATAGTCCAACCATGTCAAAGCTTTCCAGGATGTTAATAGTTCAGTGGGCCGCTTCAATGGGATGGGATATCGAGTCGTTTGACATCAAAACTGCCTTTTTACGAGGTCAAGAACAAAGTGAAAGAGTGCTTGGGGTAGAACCTACTGCTGAACTTAGGGAAAAGCTGAAACTCAAGCCAAACGAAGTTCTTCGACTGTTGAAAGGAGCATACGGACGAGTCGATGCACCCTACTTGTGGTTCATGGAACTGAAAAAGGGATTGGAAAGCCTCGGGTTTATACCTTCACCATTTGATCCATGTGTGTTTGTGCTGCCAAATGAAAAGTCTGGAACTCCAGAAGGTATGGTAGGCATTCATGTTGATGATGGTTTATGCTGTGGCTCAGAAGTTTTTCGGGAAAAATTGAGACAGCTGTCAGAAAAGTTTCCTTTTGGATCACACAAACGCAGAAACTTCACATTTACAGGACTCAAAATCGATCAACAACCAGACCAGTCCATCCACATCCACCAAACTCAATATATCAAAGATATTCATCACATCACGGTTTCCCGAGACAGGAGAAGTAAACCTGATGACCCTGTCACTGACTCTGAAAGACAAGAATTGCGAGCCCTCATTGGGTCGTTACAGTATGCCGCCGTCAACAGTCGCCCTGACCTCTGCAGTCGTTTAGGATGGTTGCAATCACGAATCAACAGGGCACAAGTCTCTACGTTGCTGGAGGCCAACCGAACACTGCACGAAGCAAAGCTTCATGTAGAGGTGACAATCAAAGTTCAGCCGATTCCGATTGCAAAGTTGCGATTCGTAGCGTTCTCTGATGCTTCTTTCTCTTCGAATAAGGAGCCGGATTCCCACCAGGGTATGATGATCATGTCATGTCATGAGAACATAGGAAGTAACCGAACTAGCCCAGTGAATCCGTTGGTCTGGCACTCGAAGAAGATTCAGAAGGTGGCAGTGAGTACGCTCTCGGCCGAAGCGATGTCACTTGCAGGCACCGTAGATATGCTGTCTTGGGTTCGTTTGTATTGGGGTTGGATCATGAATGTGAACATCCCTTGGAAGAAGGCTGATCAGACATTGCTGCAATTACCACCTGCATTCGCCGCCATACCACCAAGTGACTCTGAAACTGAAGTACCTTCCTGCCCTGACAATACATTTGAACTGTTGAAGCAAATTCCACAAAACAACAAAGCCATAATAACCACTGATTGCAAGTCTTTGTATGATTTAATCAGCCGAACAGCACCTCCCAGCTGTGGAGAATTTCGAACCTTACTCCAAGCCAAACTGATAAAGGAACACCTGAACAATGGGATCCAAATCCGTTGGGTACCCTCAGCCGCACAAGTTGCCGACTCACTTACCAAGGTCATGGACAACACAATGTTGCGAGAATGCCTCCATTTGGGGAAATACTGTTTGCACGATGAAAGTGAGATACTTAAAGCAAGGTCTGATTCCAGGTCTCGATTGCAATGGCTGCGACAGTCGGCAGCTTCATATGGGGAACGATAACCGAAAGGAAAAGCCAAGACGTCCTTGATGGTGCATCTAGGAAATATGAAACAGATTGCTTGCAACTGGCACATTGTGAATTTTTTTTGGTTATTGGGTATGTGAAACCACTGCCATTTCCCAATGTGCAACTCCTTGTCAGCCTACATGTGCACCATCCCATACATCCATCATTGCCGAAGCCTGGGGCTCCGTGAGCTAAGCAGGTGGGTGGGCATAGGCTTTGAGCCATAGGAGGATCGTGGCCGATCCCTTGCACCGTGTGCATTCAGCGATTGGAGGAAAACATAGCGGACGCTGCGGTGCAGCGAGGTGGAACCTTTTGGGAGCTCAGGGAGCTCAGTTGGTTGGGCCGCTACCAGTTCTAAAATATATATACATATATATATATATATACATATATATATACATATATCTATATATATATACAATACATGAATATGTATGAATATGTAAACTTGACATCCAACTAATTCTCTTTTTGAAGACAAGTCCATGTTAAAATAATATCAGCAAGTCCTTCACAGCCCGCAGCAGCCGCTTGCAAATGGTATCCATACTGCTGTAGAAGTGTGCAGGGACATCGAAAGAGCTACCCGATCCCGCGCCTGAGAAGAAGGATCTTCACCCGTTGCACGTGGGCCATGAAGGTCATGAAGGTCAACCACTAAAGATGAAGTGGGGATTCTTGGGAATGGGTAAAAAAAATTACGGCACAGAGAACGATGTAATTCGCGGATGGGCCCAGGTTTCCCTGCTCCAAAGTTGAACCATCAATCTGGCGTCAAAAATGAGTTGATGTACACGGAGAGATCATGGGGATGAGCTGCTACTGCTAATGCATACTATCCGCTATCCTGATCCTTAATCAAAACTTTTGTTGGCGAATCAGCTTCACCCTTGTCGGTGTTTGGCAGCTTTGAAAACTCCTCAGCAAGGTGCTCATGTATTCGGAATAGGCGAAGACGCCAGATGTCCACAGGTTCCAGCAATCCGCAGTGCTGGACCTCAGAGTTTGACAGCTAAAGCAAAGACCAGCGAAGAGAAGATGAATAATGTGTCCCCTTTGTGAATTGGACACCGGCAAGGCGTCTCCTGTCTAGTTATGTCACCAGGCCACTCATCATTGAACTGAAGCAAATGCCGAGTGATGTCCTCCATGGGATGGGCATGGAGAACAAAATAGTCATCTTTCAGATGTTCGATGCACATCGTCTCCAAGCCAGCACGAATCCTCAGTACAGCATTGTGGAATCATGATTTAAACAATGTATAAACAATGTGGGATGTTAGAAGACCATCGTTCGCATAGCGGCATAGCACTAGTCGCATAGCGGCATAGCACTAGTAGGTCAATCGTAGAAACTATATTTATATCTAAACATGACGTAACATTACATAATGATACATGTGTTCATATCATATCATATCTTATATCATATGACATCATATTATATCATATTATATCATATCATATTATATCATATTGTGTCACAGCATACTGTCTTATATTGTATTGTATTATATTGTATTATATTATATTATATTATATTATATTATATAATATATATATATATATGTTATGTTATTTTGTTTTATTTTATCATATCATCATATTATTTTTATATATAATCTGTACAGGACTTGATTTATGCTATCAGGCGTGTATGTAGCTTGAATACATTATATGTATTATATAATATGGTATAGCGTGAATACATGATATGGTTATATAATATGGTGCGGCCTGGATTCATCTTCTCAACCCATTGCTTATGTTCGGTGTGAGACGACTTCTCCATCAAGCTCCGCTGGAAATGTGAAATCACCGCATTCGCAGTTGCAAGGTTCAGGCAGCCAACAGGTCAACAGGGGATCCCTGCAATCTATACAATTTGATGACAATGACATGGAAAAAATTGACGCTGCTTCATAAATACAGGACTGGTCTGATGTTCCGCCACCGGCTCACATACTTCCCTTTCATATGGTCTGTCGGATGGCTTGCAATACTTTGCCTCATTCTCTGCATATTGTTTTTTAATGGTGAAGTGACCCCGATGTTGATTGCAGCTGTGTCGGCAATATGTCCTCTTGCTTCATGATGTACATGACAATACAACTCGAGATCCAAATGGCGCACGAAAGTGTCTCGGCTTGCAAGTCTGGCAAAGCAAGTGGCATGTGACTGGCCCTTCATCTCAACGAAATCAAGAAAGATACATACAAGTACGTACAAGTACACATGAGATCACATGAGTGCATACAAGCCATCTGAATCTGACTCATCCTGACATCAACTTCACCAACTTTGATCAGCCACCTAGGACCGCCCTCATCACGTGCGAATTGGCCTTGGATGATGACGACCATTCGAAGTCTTTGCATGATGGCGTCGTATCAAATCAGGCGAGCCAAGATTGATTTGGTCAGTCCCCAATAGTTCCAAAGCTCCCTAAAAACACCTCAAAGACTCAAAGCGGACAGTGGCAGAACAGTACTTGATTCCCTTATGTAATCCTTTTGCCTTCCGGATTTCGTTTGGCATCACCAATTCTGAGGCTCAGACAGTGTGCGTGCCCTTTTTTAACCGACTTCCTAGAAAACACTGAGCCGAAAGTATTTGGCGGCCGAATCTGCAAACCACTTGCCACAGCTGCCAAATTTGGCTGTCGCCAGTAAAGCCAAGGAAACATAAGGAAACAAGTCCAAATTCCAAGCAGCTACAAGTCACCCTTGCGAAGGAGCTTTTTTCAACGCTCGCTGCTCAGCTTCTGAAGCTTTGTCCTCGGGATCAGCTAAGCTGCGTCATAGAAGCTGTGTCAGTCCCGTCTTGAAACACTTTTACCATCAAGGCCCGAAAGCTCTGGAACACGGACCAAGGTGAGTTTTGTCATCCTCTCTGCTGATTCAACACTTCCAGCATGTCAAGCAAACCACTTACAGCCCAAACCACTCTATGCCAAGCATGCTGCGTCATAAAAACTGTGTCAGTCCCGTCTTGAAACACTTTTACCATCAAGGCCCGAAAGCTCTGGAACACGGACCAAGGTGAGTTTTGTCATCCTCTCTGCTGATTCAACACTTCCAGCATGTCAAGCAAACCACTTACAGCCCAAACCACTCTATGCCAAGCATGCTGCGTCATAAAAACTGTGTCAGTCCCGTCTTGAAACACTTTTACCATCAAGGCCCGAAAGCTCTGGAACACGGACCAAGGTGAGTTTTGTCATCCTCTCTGCTGATTCAACACTTCCAGCATGTCAAGCAAACCACTTACAGCCCAAACCACTCTATCAAGCATGCTGCCCGTCATAGAAGCTGTGTCAGTCCCGTCTTGAAACACTTTTACCATCAAGGCCCGAAAGCTCTGGAACACGGACCAAGGTGAGTTTTGTCATCCTCTCTGCTAATTCAACACTTCCAGCATGTCAAGCAAACCACTTACAGCCCAAACCACACCAAGCATGCTGCGTCATAAAAACTGTGTCAGTCCCGTCTTGAAACACTTTTACCATCAAGGCCCGAAAGCTCTGGAACACGGACCAAGGTGAGTTTTGTCATCCTCTCTGCTGATTCAACACTTCCAGCATGTCAAGCAAACCACTTACAGCCCAAACCACTCTATGCCAAGCATGCTGCGTCATAGAAGCTGTGTCAGTCCCGTCTTGAAACACTTTTACCATCAAGGCCCGAAAGCTCTGGAACACGGACCAAGGTGAGTTTTGTCATCCTCTCTGCTAATTCAACACTTCCAGCATGTCAAGCAAACCACTTACAGCCAAACCACTCTATGCCAAGCATGCTGCGTCATAGAAGCTGTGTCAGTCCCGTCTTGAAACACTTTTACCATCAAGGCCCGAAGCTCTGGAACACGGACCAAGGTGAGTTTTGTCATCCTCTCTGCTATTCAACACTTCCAGCATTCAAGCAAACCACTTGTCATGCGTCATAGAAGCTGTGTCTCCCGTCTTGAAACAATTACCAACAGCTCTCCAGCACTTGTCAAGCAAACCACTTACACAGCCCAAACCACACCAAGCATGCTGCGTCATAGAAGCTGTGTCAGTCCCGTCTTGAAACACTTTTACCATCAAGGCCCGAAAGCTCTGGAACACGGACCAAGGTGAGTTTTGTCATCCTCTCTGCTGATTCAACACTTCCAGCATGTCAAGCAAACCACTTACAGCCCAAACCACTCTATGCCAAGCATGCTGCGTCATAGAAGCTGTGTCAGTCCCGTCTTGAAACACTTTTACCATCAAGGCCCGAAAGCTCTGGAACACGGACCAAGGTGAGTTTTGTCATCCTCTCTGCTAATTCAACACTTCCAGCATGTCAAGCAAACCACTTACAGCCCAAACCACTCTATGCCAAGCATGCTGCGTCATAGAAGCTGTGTCAGTCCCGTCTTGAAACACTTTTACCATCAAGGCCCGAAAGCTCTGGAACACGGACCAAGGTGAGTTTTGTCATCCTCTCTGCTGATTCAACACTTCCAGCATGTCAAGCAAACCACTTGCAGCCAAACCACTCTATGCCAAGCATGCTCCGCATCATAGAAGCTGTGTCAGTCCCGTCTTGAAACACTTTTACCATCAAGGCCCGAAAGCTCTGGAACACGGACCAAGGTGAGTTTTGTCATCCTCTCTGCTGATTCAACACTTCCAGCATGTCAAGCAAACCACTTACGGCCCAAACCACTCTATGCCAAGCATGCTGCGTCATAGAAGCTGTGTCAGTCCCGTCTTGAAACACTTTTACCATCAAGGCCCGAAAGCTCTGGAACACGGACCAAGGTGAGTTTTGTCATCCTCTCTGCTGATTCAACACTTCCAGCATGTCAAGCAAACCACTTACGGCCCAAACCACTCTATACCAAGCATGCTGCGTCATAGAAGCTGCGTCAGTCCCGTCTTGAAACACTTTTACCATCAAGGCCCGAAAGCTCTGGAACACGGACCAAGGTGAGCTTTGTCATCCTCTCTGCTGATTCAACACTTCCAGCATGTCAAGCAAACCACTTACAGCCCAAACCACTCTACACCAAGCATGCTGCGTCATAGAAGCTGTGCCAGTCCCGTCTTGAAACACTTTTACCATCAAGGCCCTAAAGCTCTGGAACGCGGACCAAGGTGAGTTTTGTCATCCTCTCTGCTGATTCAACACTTCCAGCATGTCAAGCAAACCACTTACAGCCCAAACCACACCAAGCATGTTGCATCTGCATCATAGAAGCTGCGTCAGTCCCGTCTTGAAACACTTTTACCATCAAGGCCCGAAAGCTCTGGAACACGGACCAAGGTGAGTTTTGTCATCCTCTCTGCTAATTCAACACTTCCAGCATGTCAAGCAAACCACTTTTCAGCCCAAACCACTCTATGCCAAGCATGCTGCGTCATAGAAGCTGTGTCAGTCCCGTCTTGAAACACTTTTACCATCAAGGCCCGAAAGCTCTGGAACACGGACCAAGGTGAGTTTTGTCATCCTCTCCGCTTCTTCGACACTTCCAGCATGTCAAGCAGACCTACGCACATTAGAAGCTAGTATTGATTGTCAAGGATGTTGGATCCATTCAACCGGGCCTTGCGTCTTTCAAGTATGACGTCCAACCCCGTTTAGGTTTAGGCGGTTAATTGGCAGAGAACAGCCTCCAAAGGTTGAAAAAATGGGTTGATAATGGTTGATATATCTGCTCAACTGCCTTTAGGATCTTTAGGCTTTTCCGGCTTTCCCACCCTTCAAATGAAGCCAAGCCACTTCAGGTCCTGTCTCACTTCGAGCCCGAGTCTTCAATCCTTGGCAGCTTTCCTGCTGGTAGGTGTCCCAGCAGAAATGTATTCCTTGGACTAAGCATCCTGGGAGTCGGATTAAATATTATTCAATTTCGAGACTTTCAAGCCAAGACTAAGATAGCTGCGGTTCATTGATGGGGTGCCTGAAGAAAACATGACAATCGATGATAATCGATATTCTAAATGGTACCCCCCCCATATTATGAATATCTGATGGCAAATGTTCAAGCTTAATTCCCAACTTGGCCAAGTGTCAGATCAGGACTCCTTTCTTGTGGGATGCCGTGCCTAGAACCCACCAGGCGCAAGCATTGCACCGTTGCCAGTGTGATCATGTCTCACCAAAGATCCCAGCATCTAAGGTGCACTTCAAGTGATGTTTCTTCAACTCAGCTACCAGCGTCTCCATGTTTCTCCTACCTTCAGCTTCTGAAAATAAAAACTTCATCCCAGCAGCTTGACCAGAATTTCAGCCGTAGCTTTCCGCGCTTCTGCTGCCCGGAGGATCAGGACCTGCCCGGCAGTGCTTTGCTGTGGGCACCCACCAGGACCGGCACCTTCCGGCACCTGGTTCTGCTGCAGGTTGAAGCGCAGATATGGCCTGGGCCAACAAGTGACAGGATGCGTACTGGAGGTTTGCAAAGCCCTTTGGCACGTTTCAAAAGGCATGGTCCAAAAGGGATCAAAAGTGCCTCCACGACTCCACTATCAATGTGCAGTGACCTGTCCTGGAATAAATGTTTTGTGGCAACATCTGTTACTTCAGCAGGCTATCCACTTAAGGATTGTCTTCTTCATCACCTTTTGTGGTCTCGTTCTTTGCCTCAACAGGTGACAATTGTGAACCTTGGCATCAGCGACTCGTGACCACTAGCTCCACATCGATGATGTCTGGAGAACCACTTGGGTGAAGCAAAGATGGCAACGTGGCGTAAGCAGACTCTATGAGATTCCCTCAATAGTCCAAGTGAAATGCCAAGAATCAAGACCTCAAATGTTGCTACTCCTATAATAATTTCGCAGAATGGCCAAGGCCATTTTTGCTGGTAGGATTAAAAAAAACTTAATATCAAGATCCAGTGTGTCTAAAGTGAAATCACTAGTGTTGATTAAAAGATGCTTTTGACATAAAACCTCCTCATGTTTAATGAAAAAAAACACCATTTTCCCCTGGGTTCACCACTGTGACTGGATCTCGGTGGACTTGGCGCCCAGGCCCCTCGCAGGCTTCCGTCAGCTCCATGGCATGTCGCAGGTTCAGCACGGGCACATCACCCACCGCAATGAGTTGCATGTTCTCCAGGTGATCATAGCCTGGGATCATTGATCACTCACCCGCGGTTTCAACATATTGAAAATGTCACAAAAGAAAAAGCGGTCATCATCCCAACTTAGCTGAAAAAACTGAACATGTCGAAACATAGCGAAACATGTTGAAACCACCATTCTCAAGATGATACATGATGATACTATGTGTTCAACATCGGACCCCTTACCATGATCCAGAAGGAAACGCCCTTCAAGTCCAAATATACTGCCTGGGAGACTTGAGTCTACACCAAATGGGTCTGCCTAAGTCTGCTTGTTCATGATACACCGGATCAAATTCTGATGCCCGAGTCCCAGCCAGCTAAACTGCAAATGATCTGCCCAACCAAGAAACCCATGGTCAGTTCGTGAGCGAGCACCTGCGGATCAAGGAGATACAAGAAAAGTATGCCAAAATGAGTTCTACTTCCACAATCAAAAACAATTATATACTGCTTGTCAAATGCCTAGAGTGTCGGACGGCCAACGGCAGGAAAAAAAAGATGGCACTCGAAAACCATGCGTTGTGGTGTAGTTGGCATCACCAAGGCACCTGGGTGAGCAGCACCAGCTGTTGATCTCGCGAGTCCGCACGGGACTGGGCTCCGGCAGATTTGTGGAACGAATTGACCCATACCTATGCTGTTCGGATATTTTTTAAAGGCCTGTTTTGATTCTTCGTGTCATTTTGGACCCATAAGAGATCATAAGAGTAACTATAAAGGCAAAAAACTACAACCTCCCACAAGGTCAAGATTGGGAAAAGATCATCTACAAGGTTTGGATACGTCCCACGTCTGGCCTGTATGGCAGACTTCACCATTTCAACCGGAGCTTTGTGCTCCTCGGTCTAAGGCACATGGTGGACACAGCTCAAGGGGTTTGAATGAAGGTACAGACCTGGACATAGCCAACATAGCCACCCCAAAAACAGCATCGAATGATTGAGTGCAAAGTCCGTTTCTTGGCCAACCGAGCATCCCAATCAGACCCAAACTCTGACTCCAGCAAGGGCTCAGAAAGGACCTGCAGAAGCATGACTGCTGGAGAGCACTCCAAACTCACAGCAGAATGAGAGATGCGCCAGGGAACTGTGAAGACCAATCCAGCGACGATGAAGTATGACGGGCCTGCTCAAGAGTCATCTGTTCCCCCAGATTTGAATGAGAATATTCAGAACTCTTTCCCAAGCCAGACTTCTATCACTCTCAACAATGCCCTTGCCCTTCCAACAATCTGGAAACCGCTGTACGAACCTTTGTTCTGTCCTCCAAAATCGCTCGATACCCAGAGGAAAAGACACTGGCTTGACTTTCATCATGAGTGTAAGTATTCACAATAGAACAAAAGCACGCAGCCAACTCGACCTGGCACTGGTTTGTTGAAGAGATGTACAGGGACGAGGGGCACCTGCACTCAGCTCAAAACAATTGCCCGTCTGACAAACATCATCAAGTCACACTGGAGAAACATCAAAGCTGCGATAGTCACGGAGGATCCAAATTCTGCGTTGGTGTAGAACTTGAAGTAATGATGTCTTCCATGACAATCTCTGATCTCTCTGCAAGGTAACGGCATAACTGCACAGCATTTTGTAGCTCTGTGTGGAAGGCCGCGAGAATGTTCCTGATTTTTCTTCTGACCGCTGCGTGTAGAATCAGGACTAAGAGTGACTTTGTCTAGAGTGACTTTGTCTACTCACTTGAATTATCCTGAACAAATAAGAATATTATAATAGGGACCCGTTTCTTCACCTGGCAAAAATGGTTGCTCTTCTTAGCTGACTCTCCTTTCTGTTTGCGCGACTTGCTTTTTTATTAGTATTCCGAATTCCTAACCAAAAAGTAGGGACCGTTTCTTTGCTTGCAAGCAGTGCATGAACCAAGCGTTGTTTGTTAGTTGCCGGCCTCTCTTTCATCTTTCCTCTACATGAAGTTTCTTCCTTCCGATTCAGCACACAAAAACAAAAAAACTAGAGAGCAGTTTCTTCACATCCGAATGGAACGCACAAATTGTTGCTGTGGGCTGATCCTCTTGTTCCTTTTTCAAGGTTTGTTTCCTTTTTTCAAAGTTCACTCACAAAAACCTGCGTGGAAAATTGGGTGAAATCTCACTTGCGAGGGCCAAAGTGTCTCACTTGCCCCGGTGACCATGGGTTTTGACCATCAAGACTACCTTTTAGGGTTTGACTTGAGGACATGGGGACCGAGGACATGGGGACCTTGGACATGGGGTGGGTTAGGGGGACATGGACTCTCTATGTCTATATAGTCAGAACCTTTTAGGGTTTCACTTGGGGAGAAAGGGGCATGGGAACTGGATGGTGAGGGGGACTTGGGTGCGAGCAAACCCTGCAATGACATGATATTTGTGCTATGACATCATATGTGTTCTAAGAGTCTGTTACTGCGGCAAGCTGCACATGATGCTGGCGCTTCCGCAGTTGTTAGCAGCTAACTGAAAGAAAAGGCCGCGCAGGCGCAAGCGAGACAGGCTCGCAGGCATAAGCGAGGAATCTTCCGGAAAATGTGGCGGGGTTCTAGAGAAGAGATCTGGGAAGCCAAATGTGGATTGTTCAAATTTGAAGCGTGTGTTGCACATGAACAGAAAATTGTACAGTAGAGTCCCACTGAAAGGTCGGGGCTCGAAAATGGGAATAGTTTTGATAACTCCTCAAAGGCGCGTGAAACGGTTGGTATTTGGTGTCTGCCTTCTTTCTTGATGTTTCATGCTTCACCATCTCTTTTTATGTTGATACATTTTGGTAGGAATATCTGCGCAAGTTCTGAACACAAGACTGGGCAGAGTAAAATTAATGTTGCTTTTGGTCTGTTCCCTTTCCTTGATGTTCGATTCTCCACTTCTTTTCACCTAAATCTGAATATAAAAATTGCAAAGTTCCAAAAAATATATCAGAGTAGGGACCGTGTTCTTCGGGTGCAATGTAAAACTCCTGCGGCTTCAGCTGGTGTGAAAGAAAAAAAATAACCCAAACTGATGACAACGGATGTACCCGCGGAGTGCATGCCCCCCGCTGGACGCAACGGGGGCGAAAGGATTCCAATGAATCATGTCTGGATTCTTGCTCTTTTCATCCAAGATTCTTTTCAGAGCTTTTCTTCTGCTCCTTTCCCTTTCAAACTCGTGCCCTGGGACTAAATTCAAAAACATCCAGAAACTCAAAGTCCGTGGTTCTTTTCACCATCAATTGGTGAGGCTTTTCCTGGTGAAGCCTACGACTCACACCAGGGACCGAACACGCCACTCCCATCATAGACGAATCATACAGATCTTGATAGCAAGGTCCAGGGATGTCCAGGGTCTAATATCAAGGTCAAAGGGCTCGGAGATCTTACCGTGGAATCCTTTACCCAACCCTGACAATTTTTTTAGATTTCACCAGGGCATCGCATCAGTGCCGCACCTCTGGGTACAGACTAGGAATTTCCAGCTCCAACTCTTTGCCTTGGCAGTTCGATCGCTCTCTACAGTCATCCGATCTGACAGGACAAAATTGAAGAAAAGCTGCACACTTTGCAAAGAAAAATTACCAACTTGTAACTTCGATCTATTTCCTGCAAATTGGTGGCTATTCTAAGCTTCGAAAAAATGGCCGTGTCGTCCAATACACGATATCATGACCATCATCCGCATCCACTCGAATCTATGCATCCGACCTTCTCGAAGGACTGTAAGTGTGGCTTTCTCACCGAAGAACTTCTGTGCCTTTCCACTCGAACGGAAGGAACCAAAGGGTCAAATAGCTGGAATGACAGCTGCTGGATACCGCCGATCATCATCCCGGCCACACTGCAGTGACTGCTGGGCTTTACATTTCCCACCCCCCCTTGCAGTACAAGCGGCTACTAGCCAAGAGTACATGACTCTCTCGTGTTTGCGAAAGCGGATGGTTCCATCGTTTCCAATCGGTTCACCGTCAAAGGCCAGCAAAACGTCGTTGGCCTACAATCCACCACGATTCCAACTTAATTCCAACATAATTCCTACATGATCCAACTGGATGTCTGAATTCAACGCTCTCCATGTGCCTTCAGCACCTCTGCTGCTGCAGAAGTTGGCGTCACCCGATTGATGAGGACCCCTTTCTGCCTGACTCAAGGACTACATGTATGGGAGTCAAACCGTCTGATTCCACAAAAAGCTCCAGACGCAAGAGCTGAAAATTCAGATTCATCAGATTCTATGATTCTATGATTCTCATGATTCTGGATTTCTGGAATGCGAGACAAGTAGAAAGTTTATGAAAGGTTCATGATGAGTTTCCTTTTTCATCTTTTTCCTTCAACAAGGACCTCGTTTCCCAAAGCTCCCAGTTTCCTCTTGCCGAGTTGCTTGTCACTCATGCCGAAGGATTCACGCAGCTGGGAATTCCTGTTCGATTGACACAGCTAGACTCGCTAGACTATGTGCAGGAGGGATCCAAGAGGGTCATGTCTTCTGAAATCATCTGACATCATCTCTTCATCTATTCATCTATTCAGCTTCAATGTCCATCACATGCTTTGCACACGAGCCACTCCATTGTCTGCGTCTCAACCCCCAAGGTGGGGAAGCCCGTGTACTTCCCATGCGTCAGCAGGTCTTTCCTCGGCAACATGTGGTTCAAAGCCATGGAGCACCACACACAGTGCTGATTCTCCACCGCTGCCAGGGCTCAGAAAATGGGTCACCACCAGGCTTGGGATGACATAACCGATGTTCTCTGCCTCATCGGCGTTCATGCTCTGAAAGGCAATGCCAACACATTCACCATTTCCTCAGATCAGATCGCCAGTTTTGCACAGAGCATCGGGAATCATGGGAATCGGTGCAAATGTGCCCAAAGAAAATGTTGGTGTCCCAATTGCAAACGAAACTGAGTCAAGCCAAAAAGAATCGGGGAGAATGATGCTGTCCACTGTGAATTTTCTGACGAGATGCGGTTGAAAGCGGGGCCACCACTGTTGCCACTGTTGATGGCAGCATCTATTTGGATGCCCAGCAGTTCCGCAGATGCTTGGGTGTAAGTGGTGACCTGGTGGAGGCAGGAAAATGTGTCAAATTGAGAGTAACAAATATATCATAATATATCCAAATGGGTTACCACATTCTCAAAATGCTTCTAAAATGGCTCTCAATGTTAGACTCGTTAGACGTATACATGAGTGAACATCCACCACACTCACCACGCTGAACCGACAAGGCCTCGATGCGCGATATAACTCCGGATGTTACAGAAATTGTATCGCCGCCAATCGGAAAGCCAACACACCTCGGCTGCTTCCACTGCATCGGCCAAGTGCCACAGATGTCGCAGAAAAAAACGTTGACCAATTGCCAGTTCTGTCAAGGCTCAAGACATCTTCTTCCAGGTGAGGCAGCTTCTGGCTGAGCTTGACTTGCTGAAGACCTTCCCAAAACCTCATTGGATCCATCAAGAGGTTGATGGGTCAAATACATGATGGTTTCGAAAAACCATTCTGGCTCAAAAAATCAGCTGAGCTGTCACACTACTTTCATCATGTTTCATGCTGGGTTCTACAGATCCCGACCTTTCCATTTCGTCCACTTTTTTGGCTGAGTTGCTCATCATTTTCCACTGTGAGGACGGCAGCATCGCACTCCCAGCCCACAGAGAGGACCTTCGCCAAATGCTTCACGTCTGAACCACGGCGCTGCGCCTTCACCTTTGCCAATCAACTTGGGTCTAACCTATTGGGGAATCCGTCGGGGAATCTGGGGAATCTATTGAAATTCCTCAATTACAGTGATTCTTGTGAAAATCATGACATGGTTTGGAGGGTTCCCAAACCCTTAGACATCTTCGCAACACTCCCAAATGGGTATGGGTCAATACCTATAGATACATTTTTAGTGGGATGAACATCCATTTACCAGCTATTTTGAGGTTCACTAGGTACCAGGGTTTGACCCATCCCCAAATGGCAACGGCTGTGTCTTCAACTCTTCGGCATCGCCTGTGCGTGCCATTCAACACAATGGGCATTGGTGATGAGCACGCGACGCTCCGCATCGATGCAAAAGCCGGATCCTGGAGTGATGTTTTTGGAAAGCATGGGAACGCATAGGAAAGCAACAATCAAAATCTGAGACGTTAGGAAATTAGGAGTTTGGAATGTTCAAACTTTCAAGCCAAAACCTTCAGATATGACAACCATCTCCTAGGCGACATCGCAAGAATGAAGGATAGGTGGCGCTTTGCATCTTTGAAAGACATGTGACAAGTGGAAGGCTCAGGACGACTGCCCAGTGCAATGAGACTTGGAAGCCCATCCTGTCGATCTCTCTTGCCTCCTTCTCCTTGGATAAGGATTACAGTCACACTCTCACTCTCCCACCGAAAATGAAATACTGGGTTTGTTTTCAGGGAAGTCCCCTACATGTTGCCTGAAGCTGCTCCATGAGGAAGTGAGCACGTCGTCAAGTGGCACCACTTCAACCGGTTTATTTTCAACTCCGGTATCAGGAGGTCAACATCCAACGATTCCAACGATTCCAATAAAAATAACAAAAAGTACTGCTGCCAAAGGCTCTGCCATGGGAGTGAGAAGTTTGGTATGCTGTGCACACACCAGATCTGGGCACATGCAACGCTGCTCAACCCACAATGTGCGCAATGTGCACCACGCAGCAGGCTCATCTGATATGACATTCCTAGACTGGTACATGCAAGCATATGATGGTATTTCTATAATATTTCTATACTATTGATATAATATGTCTATAATGTTTCTATAATATGACTAGATATATTATCATGATAAAGTTCTGCTCAAAGTTATATCTAAAGTTCATGCATCAATTGTGCCGGCGCCAATGTGATCCCAGCCTTCACCACAGCATCCAGTGGCACGCCCAAAGCTGAGAGATCCTCATCTTCCCCCGAGACCTGCCTGTTGGGAGTGGGCTTCTGCAAGGGCCATGCGAAATCCACCCAAAAAAACTAATTCAAATACATCTGTATATTATTATATTATATTATACAATATGTGTATGTATATGTATCTAAAAATAATCAATTATACATATATAGATATATAATCATATGTATTACTGTATATATATACGTATGTATACAAACGGGAATTCCGATGGTGACTCAAGGTCTACACCTGTTCTACACACTGCAAAAAAACAAAACGCACAGCAAGATGCGAAGAAAATGCGAAGAAAATGACACAAAACACGCTGGCGAAAGATGGCGAAAGGACCTGTTGAGAGTTCCTTTGCTCTTCTTCTGAGGCATGGCATTTGGCGGATTATTTGATGTGTGGTGTTTAAGTTGTCTGGATTTTTGTGTGCAAGTGGGCGGCCAATCTTTGTCTTGGGTCTCCTACAGTGGTGTCACAAGTTGCGATCCCAGCACCAAATAGGCCATCATCTTGACCAAAAATGTCGCGGATTTTGAGTGATGAAGATCCATTGGTTTCAGCGTGTTCTGTCACCTTGAGCAGTCCACCCAAACCCAGATTCATGAGGCGAAAACATCGCATTTTCTTTGTTGCTGGTTTTCCGAAATCATCTGAAGACTTAGATGAGTTAGTCAGGCATGGACCATGAAAGAACAGTTGATCGAAGAAAAAACAATCTTTTTGGTCTTTTTTTGGTCTCGCAGCTTGTTAAGCTTGCTCTTCACTGATTTGCTCCAGTGAATGGGCACTGGATGGCACTGGTAACTCTGCAAAGGAGCAACCCAGTGACTCTCAGCTGGACCAAGCAGCTGAGACTAATCCTTCTGGAAATCTGAGGATTCTCAAACGCTGATTTTGCAAAGAGACCAAACAAATATCGCACAAAGAACCCTCAGCCACGGCGGCGAGATAATCGCCAGGCATTCGGCTGCTCGAAGCGGTTGTAGAGCGGCCTTGGATCGGATCATCCCATGAGTCCCATAGATTTGATCTCAAAAACTCTCTCTTAATGATACTGTAATTTGTAATATATTGATATATATATATATATTATCATAATAATATTGTAATTATCTAAAAGAAATCATCTAATTGTATCTAATTGTCAATACAAAAGTATACGTATAGCTTTTCTGCAAGCAATCAGGATATGGACAGGCACAGATGCGGCGAAATCACCCAGGAGTTGAGCTCCAGGCTCAATACGCTCGCGCATCTTCCTTGGAACACGATACGTTCTGCCGAATGCATCGATTCTGCCAATCCACCGGGAAAATCCAACAGAAAATCTTGGGAGGTGTGACGTTTCCAAAAAAAATGTGCCCCTTCCTTCAGCAACATCACCAATTCTGTTGATCCAAGGTTCCGCTTGGACAGCTTCGTGGGATCTGCCCGCTGGAAGAGGTTTGGAGCCAACTCTGGCAACCACTGCGGTTCAATCTGGCCAGCGGTTGAGGCTCGAATGGGGTTTGCTTTTCGTACCAAAAGGTCTGATGGCATTCGAACATCCACAAGGGAACACACAGAACACACCCAACTCATCCAAGTATTTGCACATTGTCGTGGCTGAGCTAATTGCAGTGGAGCATTCTCGCAAGTACTCCTTACTGGTCAACACCTCAAAGCGACCAAATCATGGAGCGAGATGGTTTTGCTGAATCTTTGGGCCACCCCAAGCAATAAACTGCTCGTGGCTCCAATCTGAAATTCCAAAAACACAAAAGGATTGGTTCATCCCCAGCAACAGCAACTGCTGCATCATTTAGGTCACAAATGGTCACAATGGCAACATTCATCCTGGAACAATTTCGCTAAGATTGGCACCAGCTCGTGGTAGACAATCCACTCAGGGTTTCGCTGGTACAGCGCAGATGCTGGATGGATGTAGACCTGGGCAGAAGTCAGCCCGCCCAAACTCAGCCCTCTCCAAACCTCTGATGGAGGATCCCCCACAACAGGTCTGGAAATGTCCCGCACCTGATTATGGTCTGTCAGGGTTCTGTACCCTTCTTGTGGATCTCTTCCTCAGCGACACAGCTCTTTTATGCTTGGCAGGTGATGTGGCTCTCACAAAAGTGTAAGGCTTGCGTGAGATGGACAAAAGAACACTTGGACAAATATTGGTCTGAATATGAATCAATTGAAACGCTGGTTGGACAGTTTGTCCGAGTATCTGCTGGCATTGCCGAAGTAGCCTGCTGTGATGCATCTCCTGATAGTTCAGCTGCGTTCAAGCTTGCGTGACGATACCCTTCTGCAGACCATATGGCCTAATTCGATTGTAGTCGTTGCCACAGGATACGATCTCAAACTTGTAGCCTGACGAGGAGTCAACGTGCGAATGCAAATGTAAAGGTTTGGTCTGCACTACATCATTGCAACTGCTCCCACGTCCCACTACTACCATCACGACCACCAGACCACCATTAGTAACGAGAGCAAGTACATCGACAGCAACATCAAATTTCAATTACAGTAAGTGACACAAGATATCACAAGATCGTCTAAGTTGTCACTGAGTCTCGGTCAGAGTGTTTCTCTATTGTAGCAGCTTTCTTTGCTACTGTTCTTGCAGTTGCATCATAATCGCCCCACCAGTGTTATCACGTCCCTATGACTGCAAATCGCCAACGTACTACACGGCGATGGCACCGCAGTTGTCCAGCCATAGCAACCCTGACGTTAGCCAAGCAACGATCCATCAATGTGATCAACTGCTTTCGCACGTCCTCTAGACACAAAACAACCTCACATTTTGGTCGGGTCAAAGGTCTGTTGTCCTTGCGGTGTCCTATAGGCCAATTTACTGTAGGAAAAAGATATCAGCATTTGCCACATTTGTTACAAGCATTCTGCCAAATGACCTGAGTTTTCTCTCAGGATTCTGTTTGCACTACGACATTGACATCATCCCTCTGACTCGGAGGTGACTTTCACATATGACACACAGCCGGAGGAAGTCCTGTGACCGTCGCAGAGCGCGAGCCTGCGCAAGGCGTTGTGCAAGTCTGATTGTCTGACTCTGGCAGTCACAATTGGAAGTATGTGGTGACTCTGGTGGTTCAAAAATGTGGCTGCCTACAAGGACACATGTGCCTGGATGAAGTTTTCGTAACACCAGGGGTTGGAAAAGCGATTGTGTGCCTTTGTCCAATGCTGCAACTCAAGAGACAGCACACTTCCAAACTTTAAACACCAAGTGAAAGATCCAAAGACTCCGTTGTCAGTGATCCTGCTCCATTGACCCCGTTTGTTTGTCTAAAACCAAGCGAAACAAGGTCATCAAATTTTCAGGTCCATGCCCAAGTCTTGTAGACTTCAAGCAGCGTGCAATGATCGCCTTGTGCCATGGCTGCCATGGTTCATGAGGCAACAAATCACACTTTCCTGGGATTCAGAACTACCCAAGTCATGAAAGCACAGCGAAACCAAGGATGACTGCTGTGCTGGGCACCTTCCGGCTGATGAAATTTGGACTTCTTCTGATCTGCCATGGCCTGAAAATTTACCGCATCAATTGATTGAAGTTGTTTCAACCGTTTGGAGGCTCCCAGCTTGTGTATCTCTCCCTTCCCATCCCTAGTGAATTGTGATGAATTGTGCCCGTTGCATCTCGTTGTATCTCTTCTCCGAGATGCAATCTCTGTCACACCGATTGTTGGGGCCTGCTTGTCCTTTGGTCGGTAGAAGACATTCTGTACTGAGAGCCTGAAAAATGCTCTTCTCGGCCAATCTGTTACTCAGAGATGCAAGGTTAATCAAGGTCACACGTTGCGTTGCACTTCGATGGCACCAAGCATATGCCGGCTAAGTAAGACTTTGCACAACAGCAACAAGGTGGGAAAAAATGCATCACGGGAATTTTGGGCAAAGAATGTCCCTACTCCGGGGAGACATCACCTGAAGGCCTGTATCGTCATTGTGGGAACTGAGCCACTTCTAAGAACTCATCATCACTGAGTGCAGGACATGGCAACAATTGTCATGATCTCATCACTACACCTATGTACAGCAAAACGAGTAAGGTGAGTAAGGCGAATACCATGGTCCGCCATGGTCCGAATTTCTACTGGGAACAATATTCTGAGGGTTCCACCTCAAGTCAACAGAAGTTAGCAGCATCTTTGACAGGGCTGGCTCCATAGGGAACCTCAGGCCCCAACTGTGTTCATGGACAAAGTACATGCATCTCATATGTTGGTGCCATATTTGTGTTAAGTCGCATTAAGTCGCCTCAAGAGTAGCTTTGAGGAAAGCACTCAGCCATCTTTCGGCCCAAGTCTGTCAACATGCCTTCATCGTCCAATGATCCCAAGGTCCTTGGTTTCAACCAGTGACACCTCAAGGGCCTTATTGAGGTTTTATGCTGCAGCAAATCGCTGAGTCGTTTGCCACAGTGACTCCAAAGCGTTGATCAAGGTCTCCACAGGCCTTAGACAACAACCGGGTCATGTACCCAGCGCTTCCTCTCTTGGTCGTTGTTGGTCATTGCGTGCGCTAGTGTATCATCAGCACATGAATCCCATCCACTGCATTACAATCTTGGATGGTTGTTGGATGTCGGATACACATCGACATTCCATGACCAGTTCACCCATTGTTTGACAGAGCCCCATTGTTTCGGAGGGACGGAGAGTCCATGAAGTCAAAGCTCAACATGTCTTGGATGCCCATGGCCTGACCAGAAACCATCAGAAACCCATAGAAACCCCATCAGCTGAGCTGACTTGACTCATAGCTGTCATAGCTGTCATAGCTGTCATAGCTGTCATAGCTGTCTTTGACTCATTGCCTTCAGCAACAAAACGGTGTTGGACAGGTTGGTCCTCTGGATTTCCGGCACAGCCTTGGCAAGCATGACATCACCGGAAAAATGAGAGTTGCTTTGCGTCGCCAAAGCCGTGTCTGGGATTTCCCTACGGTGGGCAACATCTCGTTGCGGTACGCCAACTCGGTGTAGAGGCCTTGTGGGGGAAAAACTGTTTGAGGAAAACTGTTTGAGGGCGGTAAAATTGTTTGGCCAAGCACTACAGTCACTACCATGTTTCACAGAGCACAACTGGGAACAGTCAATTATCCCATTCAATCCCATTCAAATATGACTCAGCCGTAGTGGGAAGTGTCTCTGAAAACCTTTTCGATCTGAAACAACCCACAAGGTGCTGCACTGAGCATCTAGCGATAACACTTGCCTGGACCAGTCCGGCCAGCTCGGCCGGAGCGTTGCCGGGCATTTGCCTTGGAAACACGGCCGAAGCGACGGAGCAGTCCAATTCCAACGAACAACAGCTGTAGAAACCCGCAAATGTGCAACGTCTGCAACAAGGGGATAAAGCGACAAGATTGTGCAATGCGAAGGCATTCACCTGTACATTTCCATTTGCATACGAATCACGCCATAGCAGCAAGAACCTAATTTTCACCAACTCTAGTTGCTCCTGGTAAAAACGTCCTTCAAAGCATGATAATATGTACTCTGTGGTTGCTTTGAATACATTTTCATCTGGACCGCACACATGACATTAACAATGACAATGTGCGGCTATTGTCAGGGAATCGATAGATAAAAAACACTCTAGATAGACCCCAACGGAGGGAAAAGAGATTCTATATTGATGACTTCAATCAACAAGATAAATGGACGAAGTAAGAGACTTACAATACGCAAAAATAAAATACCGCGAAAAGTTTCATTTTAAATAAAACTGTGGTACCTTCATCATGTTGAGTCATGTTCGATATTATTGGCAGGTTCTGAAAACACGGGTCAATGTTAAGTAGTTTATGCACCGAAGCATGACACATACTTATTGCCATTGCCTTGACTCAAGAGTTTAATACCAATGTCAGACCACTATGATTGGTAAACGGTGAGGAAACATGAAGTATGGTTTATGAGTTGTCGGCAATGAAAAGAAGGTGACTGATGCCTGAAGAAAAGAGAACAGAATAGTGGAAATCTATCATGCAGCAACTCAGTAAAAATACCTCTTTTCTTTTTCCCACTTGATGAAGCAGAATATTGACACGTATAGGATAAAGCTTGATTGAAGAAAATGATAGTTGGTGAGAACAAACAGAAGATCCAATTTTCTGATCTGATGGTCATCATTCATACTAGATGGACTCTTTGTTGTGATTTGCTTTTCAATGTGCCTGTCATGCGTATCAAAGTTGTCATGTCCGACCTTTTCAAAAAGTTCAGTTGCTCTGGTACTTTCGCTTTCGACAAGGATCATCCGTGGATATGTACATCTGCATTTATCTGTCATTGTATCTATATAGTGCAAATAATATATATTTAATCAGAAACGTGTCTACATTGTATTGATGTTTTACGGATGACATTTCGCTAATGCTCGAGAGGCTCTGGTCAGCGTCCTTTGTTGCATGTTCTGCTCAAAGAAGTCTTGCTTCAAGGTGCTCTGTGTTTGCCATCTGGTTTCTTGAAACATCCTGGTAACCTGGTAGGAGCATTCCCTGCCTGGCTCACTGGCGTGATAAGCAAGGAGTCCATGCCTGCAAAGCGCACTGGGAGTCAGGGAGGACGGGAAAAATAAGTTTGCACTGACATCCCTCACGGGAAAAGATTCTGGAGAAGCATATTGCAGCAACTCTGCGAATTGGCAGCTGTTGCAAGCCTGTCTTGGAATTGTACATCTTAACCTTGGCTGCGACGGAACCTTCCACTGATTCTTTTCAACAAAGATGAAGGCGAAGTGTCGTCACTTCAGGCCACCACCTTTGCCATCCCTGGATCAACCACGAAGAAAATGCCATCAATGGTCAAAGATGCCTATGCCCGGCTTTGTCGCTGCACCATGCCACAGCCAAAAAACTTTGGCGAGTGGTCATCCACAAAGAAATTCACTACACTCCAATACAGAACCAAATGTTCAAATGTTCAAATGGGGTCAGTCAAGTGACAAACAAAATGCCAAGAACATCCAAGAACAGCCATGGTCAAACAGTCAACCAGCAGTTCTTTAGAGTCAAGTTATGTCCGGCACCCGGCACCTCGGCAATGTTCGTGGCCACAATACATTTTCGACATCCAGGAGGTGGTGGCCTTGCCACGCCAAGATGCCCCTCGTTCAACTGCACTGCGAACATGTTGTATCATTTTGTGGTGATTTCTTGTGAATTATTACCTTTTGTAACACTGTAATCACTGTAATTGTAATTCTATGTGTTTCTTTCACTCTCTCCTATCTCCGTTCGCTATCTCCGCTAGGACACTCAAAGATCATGGTCTGCATCTCCGAAGGCAATGCACTGTACACCTCAGAAGGTGGCGCTCACAATTTTCTCGCGCGTTCTACATCATACATGAATGCCTTCTGAATTTTCGCAGCTAACGCTTCACATTGTGATTGGTTGGAAATCTCAATTGGAACCACTTGTCCGAGCATGATTGCACAACAATGCAACACTGACGCCAAGATTGTCACCCTTGGGAATGCCGGTGACAGATGGCGCACACATATCCAAGAATAAACTGTTGGCCGTTCCAATTTGAGCTCCAAACAGGAAGAATAATCAAAGGCGGCGGGCTCATCGCCTCCAACTTCTGCATTCGTTCATGCAGGACTTGACCTTGCGAACTGTGAGTGTTTCTGCAGTGAAAGCTGCTGCACTTTCGCATTCATCTCAAATCCAATCATTCAGAAGTAACGTATGCTGACATATGCTGACATCATGAAAAACTTGAACATTTCACTCAATTCACGAACTCTTCTCTCTGAGTTCTCTGCATGCAGTGTCAATCTCCTCCTGACCCGTGAGGAAGACCAAAATGTCACCGGACGGCTCGGTGAGATGGATCCTGAGATGCGACAGCAAGTTGTGAACAAGGTTTCCATGTGGGTGACATGTGGAAAAGCTGCAACATCTCACAGAACCCTGTCAAACATATTCTGTGGACACTGTGGACTCTACCTTTTTCGTAGTTTTTCATGATTGTACTCGTGCAAACTTAACTCTGTGTGTGTGTGTCTTGCTTCGCCTAGCATTTCTTTGAACGATGCTCGATGCTCCCAAAGATCCTGAGAGTCCCGACTGTAAGACAGTCATCAGGGCAGCTTCCACGTAGTCCTGCTCCGGGTCCTGCGCAACCCGCTGTCACCTGCACACCTGGGCTGATATAAAAACAGAGGTCAGAGATGTCCTTGGAGTAGAGGATTTCCACAGGGAAGGTCCTGCAGTGCAGTGCTTGAGGCCACAATGCAGACGGCTTGGTATCAACATTCACACAAAAAGAGGTCCCTCACAAAAGAAAATGAAAAAGCGGAATGGAGTTGAGATCTCCTGCCCGGAATGGTGAAAATGTGCGAGTTGAAGAAGTAGGCTGGCCAAGAAAAGGAGCTAACTCTTGAAACCAAAGTGATGTAATATTTACATGTAGCTACAAGTATGACTCTTCGCAGACACTGAACACAAAAACATTTGCGGCTGAACGTTTTGCATTTTGCCCCTCAATTGACATGAAAGGCTGACTGGAGAATTTCTCCGCATCCAGAGTCGCCTTTAGAACTGCGGACTGAGCTACTCGCCAGAATGGTGGACATCTGTCTCTTTGGAGGTGTGACTCCGTTTCGTGGGTCTTGACATCTCTCTCCAGAAATCAGTACTTGAGAGAGGTGAGAATGGTTTGCTGCTGTAAGGTATGTGCTGAAGTGACAATCAGCTTCAGCTCCTTTCTTTTCCTGGGCAGACCGACACCAATAATGATCAGATAAAAAACAACAAAAGCAACACACATTGGACTCGAGTGAGGGAAGACGGTGCAACCAGTGCATGTTCCAGAAATGAAAGTCTGAAGGAGCTGGCTTCACTGCAGCCTTCAACAATCCGAAGAGAACATCTGTTGAGATGGTCCTGCAATTTTCGCAAGCTGGGCTCACTCAGCAGAAGGTTCTCCATCACACAGCAGGACAACTGGGAAATGCTTCAGACTCGTTCTCCAGGCCATGCAATCTGCATCTCCGTCATTGCAGGTCCTTTCATGCGCTTCGTCCAGCATGATCACAGCATACTTGCTGACCTGGCATCCGGATTCACAATGCTTTGAGACCATGAAGAGTTTTCTGGTTTCGTCGCTAGGTAGCAACCGCACAAGCTGGTATTGAATGAGGACAGTGGCAGTTTTGAGTGCAAATCCAATCTTAGTGCGACCTCATCATCTGAGAGGATCTCGCGCAAAAGCATACCATCCGTCATGTACTTGATCAAAGTGTCTGGACCAGTCTGGTCCTGCAATCAGTTTGATCAGTCTGAGACTGCTGGCCTCATCCAAAAAGGTTACAACGGATGGATTTCTTTCTTCGGTTCTCACATGGGATTCTCAGGCCATAAAATCATCGAACCCAAGAAGGTCTAGTTGGTTGCAGTGAGAGTGTTGGTATTATGTATTGAAAAAACTATGTGTTAACACTTTGGATCTATTCGATTTTGGATGCTTGATAGCACTGAGTTATGAAGTAACTTTGTGTCCATCGGTCCTCAAATCGGATGGCATAACCAACCTCTTGACCTCAGGTGACAAAATTTGAGGAGTCTGTCTGTATGCAATACTTCTCGCCTGTATACATGGCCCATGGCCATTGTGCACAGTCTGTAGCTCTCCACACACGCCCTGCGTGGATCCAACGTCACAGTCTACAGTTCATTAGTGTCACACTTGCAATGCGGTGTCCCGAATGTCGTTTGTGGAAGCCAATGGAAGCCATCTCCCAAGGTCAACCTCTTGGGATGTCCTGCATTCAAAGTCGTACTTGAGATGTCTGAGATGTCTGAGATGTCCCTCGATTGAGTTCTGAACCCAGGCGACAACCGTACTCTTCCGAGACACGCTTTGCCACCGACATGGCCTGGCAGAGATCAACCACCTTCAAAGCCTGAATTCGTCACAAAAATACGCAAGACAAATTGGACAAGTTCATTTATTATTTTGTTAACGGTTATTTAAGATATTTTAAGATATTTGCGGTTACTTGTTATCTTTGATAAGACCCAAAACAACTGGTTTGAACCCACAGGATACGAAACTACATCTTGATAATCACCAAGCCGGGAGGACAGCTACTCGTCGAGGCTGGGTGCAACCAATCATGCCTCTGGAGGTGTAGCCAGCCTTGCCAAACAGATCTGCCGGATCTGCTCTGGGAAATTTCGAGTTTCTCGCGGTCTGGAAGGGATTTTGAAAAGTGGAACGTTCGAAGCTTCGCTCGGCTCTCAAACTTTACAGCTACTTCAAGGTCATTGCCTTTCAAAACTGCGCTTCACTTTGGTATACGAAATAGAATTCAGAATGAGTTCCCAACTTCGGCCATGTACTGAGTGATCTGAGTAGTCTTCCCACTTCCAGTCTCTCCAATGACGATCAACACCTTGCACTGGCCACAAGCAGTTGGAGTTGCCTGTGGGTCTGAAGCTAGACACCAACCCCTGTGGTGCCCCTGTTTTCCCTAGGCCCCATTGACTTCTTCATACTTGTTCTGTAGATTTGATGCTGATAGCGCGGCAACAGTGTCGTTGTCCCGTGCTTTTCCCACCTGATTGTCGTGGATGGCTTGAAGAAGCTCATTCCGCAGCTTGAAAATTGGAAGTGACTCTCGCTGCTCTTTGATCGGCTTCACCGACTTCTGTCCGTAGGAAACGGATTTGCCGATATACAGCCTGCAATAGCGCAGAAAATCTTTCTGACTCTAAGTGATTCTGATTTGTTGTCTTCTATATAAAAGGTTGTCAATTCAGCAAGCACCGGTGGGCAAAAAATGCACAATTGAAGGGCTCAAAATACTCGGAAGCTCAAGTTCAGAGAATGATACGAGCTCAGGCTTCCCACTTCTTCCACTCCGGCAACTCGTAGGAGGTCTGTCCAAGGCCTTGATCATCTTGTGCCAATCTTGTGCATCAAATTACTAGTTGTAGCATGGAAAATTAACTTTCTGCAAGATTGAATTGACTAAACATGACTACATAAACAGATAAACATTACTATATAAACTAAACCATGCATCTTTGGATCCCAACACTTCTCCACTAAAGGTGTTTCAAACAGCATCAACCAACCAATGAGTGGCACCTCTCAAGGCTTGCGCGATGGTTCGCTCACCTGCTTCAGGCTTCGGATCCTGGCCAAGAAACAGGATCTGTCGTGGGGATATCTGAGGGATATGCTTCGGCACAGACATGTCACAATCTGCAGAAATCTGCTGAAATCAGACTTTTTTTCTCACGGCATCTCGTGAGCAGAGGCCACCGGGCGCGACAAATTGAGCCCAATAGCTCCAGCAAGCACCACAAAGCTGAGACAAGCAAACCTACGAAGTAAGAGCTGCTACCTGATGCTCCAATTATATAATTGTTTACTGAAAAACCGTTTGTTCAACAAGGCGATCAGATCGTACCAGGCCCATCAACTGAGTGAGACACTCAGCCGATCAATTTTTGGGCCCAGGACGATCTGATCGCCCTGTTGAATAAACGGTGGTCCCTCAGCCGGACGACCGTGGGTGGCCCCAACCAATCATTTCACCAGATCCACTTTAAAACCTGTGATTTTGTGCAACAGGCCTTGGAGCGCTGTATTCTGCTCACACTTTCCAACCATTCGCACCCTACCAACAGGAGCCCAGCTTGGAAGTCTCCAACAACAGCATGGCAGGCAGTTGAGACTTCCGCGGCACACAAGGAGCCTTCAGTTTGCTCAAATCCGTGCCATAAATGGCATCACCACAGTTCCCAGCGGCCAGCACTGTCATCCAAGGAAGTTTCCAAGAACTTCGCCGTGTTTCCGAAACACCACCGAGTTGGAACAACTCGTGGTTTTTTTCGATGAATCCCTGTGCTCCTATGGACGCCTTGCCCTTCAGCGCCAGCTAGATCAACCACTGCAAAATGTATGCCACAAATGCGACTTTTCACAAGTCACACTGCAGGAGTATCAAGATAAGTGTGCAATGCAATCGACTGGAGGTGGATCCCCATGATCGTCTTTTGCCGCGCTCATGCAAGTGGGTAATGGTAAAAGTTCGTTGAAGCTGCTAAAGAATGTTCATCAAATCAACTTGGTTTTGCAAATGAACCTTATTGGACCTTCATCTGCCGGCTTCTCCAAAGGATCCAGATCACATGGAAGCTGATCACCCAGCAGATCGAAACTCGAAAAAGCTCCACTGAAGCTCGGAGTCTTCCCGATTGGATTTCCCACGTGCGCTGCAAAGAACCAGCTTCTGCAATGGCCTGATGGAAGCCCTGAGTCTTGCCGGTCCCAGTCTGACCATATGACCATAAGCAAAAAAAAGGACATTGTGACCCTCAAAGGCCAGAAAAGCCGCCAACGCTGTGACGTTTTGTTCACTTTTGTCCTATCAGCATGTCCTCCGTCTTCAGCATCCGGTTGAATCTGCAAGAAGACTCGAGAATGGAGCAAGCGTTGCATAGCAAATATTTGGTTCGTCGCCAAGCACTACTACTAACGCTCCATGGGCCTTTCAGCAAGGTACACCTTGCAAAGTCTCACATGCAGTAAGATCAATTCTAGCCAGCACTGTCTACACTTTGAGTAGCACATGCGCGGCTGAAATGGATGAGTTGATGGTCTTTGTCACTGGAAAGGTTACAGTGTAATTACTTCAAAATGTCAAGTTGTTGGGCACAGCAGCTACCACCAGAGATGGAACCGCTGAAGGTTTTTGGACCTCAGGTGGTGGATACCCTGGGTTGTTGCCAGCGCCGGGCAGTCCTCCCACGGTCTGCCCATATCCTTCGGAATAGCGTCCAGCAAGCTCTGCCTCAGTCCCGTCAGAACATTCCGAATGACAAAAAGGGGTAGCGGCATGTCAGATAATGCTTATCAAAGACATGCCATCATTTTCAGATGAATATATGGGCAAGTTCCCAAAAAACAAAACTAAAAACTCAACTCAGAATGACCCAAGATATCCCTGGGATCCCCTGCTGCATGGCCTCCCTTGCCTCACGTCTTTCTGTGGCCAAGGCTTGTGCCCTTGGTGAAGCAACAGAGATGGTGATCTTATGGGGTGCAAGTATGCAATCTTATGGTGATCAGAGTATTTTAGTTATGTCAGTTATGTATAGTTATGTCATCTTATATGGATGTCAGTTATAGAAAATACATGAAAATACACCCTGAAAAATGAAACTCACTGAGCCACCAGACGTGGAAGCGGCCCGTGCCAAGCTGCCATCGGGCTCCTTGACGACCTCACAAGGTTTGAGCCCAGCTGAACATCAGCCAAAAAAAAATGGAGAAAATTCCTCTGACTCGTCAAGGGTGAACCACTCCAATATGGCAAGGAAATTCTCGTGATATTTGATGAGACCCTTGTATTTGGATATATTTGGATGTAACCCTGGATGTAACCTTGGACGTGTGTGTCTGTGTGCACCCGTGAGATAAATTGCCCTGCCTGGATAGGTGACAGTCGAACTCCAGCTTTTGTGGTTTGACCACGGAGGAAGACAGGCTCCTGTGCAACGAGAACGTTTCCCCTGCGTTCGTGTTGACTCAGGAAGCTGGCAAAGTAAAGTATTGTGTCTTGTGATGTCTTATGTATGTATGATAGATGCATCAATATGCATGAATTTACATAAGTCTTCCAAATCTTCCTGGTTTGACCTATGATTTCAGCGTAGGAATACCAATGAGAAATAGTTGAAATACAAAAATTCTCCACCCCACAGCGCAACGGTGGACCTTTTCTTGGAGCTCAATCTCGAAGTCTTCCTCGATGTCGCTGTCAGCCAAAAGGCCCTTCTCCTTGTCGGGGGATGTCGCTGAAAAAAATAGATCGATAGGTAGATAGATTGATAGGTAGGATTAGGTAGATAGACAGACCTATCATATTAATTATATATATATAATTATATATTACAGTACCTCCATGGTCCCCTTGTGCTCAATTTGGGCCGCTTCGCTAAGGCTCCTGGGTACACAAAACGATCATGTTATTTGCCCCAGATCGAAATTCTCAACTTGGTCGAAACTCTTGGAAGACCTCAACCTGATTGAATTTGATATGGGGGGTGTTTAAAATTATGGTTTCCAAAATTGCAGAATCGGGACAGAGAATTATGGTCATGTTTGGTGCGCATGTTTCGTAAAAATAGTGGTATTCAGATCTTTCGCGAAACCCTTCGCCGCGCTTTCGCGGCCTTTCGCGACACAGGTAAAAACACACGTCCATATCTGCAGATGTCACTCGGATACTAAAAGTCTTGCATGGGTTTTAGAACGACTCCCATATAATGTCTTATAGACCAACCTGACGATTATTATAGAGCTACATGGGTAGGTCGACAAATCTCCACCATCGTGTCCTCGTCACAATCCAGGCGTTCGTGCTGCTCAATGACACCGGAGGCTTGGAGCTGTTGCGCCTCGCTGCGTTGAAGGTGCCAGATTTTTGGTCACATCCCGCAGAAACCAATCCCACAACACTGGGTGGTTCAATTCCTTCATCTTCATCTGTATGTTGGACCCACTGGGTGAGATCATACCAAGGTTCTTTGGATCACGTGGTGTAGACCCTCCCACTGGTATTGGAGTGGGTGAGATCGAGTGTTCAACCCAATGTTTTCATAGGTAAAGCACCTCCCACATCTCGTACTCGTTCAGCTTTTTCTTTTGCCGAAGCTTCTTCCTGAAACATCACATTTCAAATGTTGCCAAGGAACCGAATGCTGGCCCAACTGACTTCCGTAAACTTTAAGCCTTAAGGCCTTAAGGTGATGACAGGGTGCCTCATCTCCCAGCCCTTTCCAGTTTCAGTTGCAAGATCTGCATCACACCCCAGGTCCTCTCCGAATCGTTGTCGGCATAGTCCAGCCTAATGCCGGTGACCTGCTCCGCAAAGGAAAAGCCAAAAAGTGTGAAAAGGGGGAAGGTCGCATGACGGAATATCCTCCAAACCAATCAAGTTGATGTGAAAGGAGATTCCCCAAAGTCAGCACTGAAGGATCTAGAAGATTCTAGAATGAGTGGAGCAAAGTGCAGCACAGCCGAAGATGGTATGTTTGCACTTTTGCTCAGGGAAAAGTATACAGTGGAAGATAGGCAGATCCCATAAATCGAGGCAATCCATGCTATGGGCAGCCTTTCAAACATGACAAGGCCAAGCTTTCAGCTTGAACCACGCTAGGACCATCCATGACTATCTGAATGTCGGGGCTTAGTTATTGCAGGACTACTCGCTCACATTCAAAAGGTCAGTCTACCAAGTCATCGAGAAACTTATAACATGAGACACAACCTTTAAGGATATTTAAGGTGTTTATGCCTCACAAAGGACGTATGGACTAGTAGTTTTGCATAATACAAATCGCTCACGATCCATTGCAGTGGATAGTGCGCCTTGCCGTACTTTGCATTCTCCTTTCAGCCAGAGACCGTTCGAGAGCGAAAGAATGTTAAACATGTCACTGATTCAACTTATTCGGACATCGAAAGCAACACATTGAAGGCATGTCACAATATCAAAGAACATATCTCTCCTCCATCCTCTTCTTTCGCATTGGATTGGATGCATCCTTCTCGTCGGCTTAGCCACAGGCAGGGTGGCTGAGCTGGACAAAACCGTTGGGAAAACAAGCTGTCAATTCATCTCAGGACGCCACGCTCTTCGCCACCTTTCACCTTCCGCACCTTCAAGTCCTGAAGTACACAGCACCTCTTGAAAGTATGGGAAAAATTGGGAAAGTGGCTATGTGATGTATGTGATGTATGTGATGTATGTGATGTATGTGATGTATGTGATGGTATGGGCCAAAATCACGGTAGTCAGCAGCTGAAAGTCTGTGGATCATTGGTGATTTATTGGGTCCGGAATTGTTTTGGGAATTAGTTTTTTCCGTTTTGTTTTTTGGGGGGGATCTGCTTTTCTGCCCGTTTTCCTTGCTATTTGCAGCATTTTGGAGCTGGAAGCTTCCATTTCAACTGTATTTACAACATTTTGGAGTTCGAACCTTTCATTCTCCATTGTACTTGCAACATGTTGGTGCTCAAACTCTTCATGTTGCATGGTATTTTGCGACTGGGGTTCATTTAAGGTTGGTTTACGGTTGGTTTAGGAATTATTTATGGTTGGTTCTAGGGTTGGTTTAGGTTCGAGAAGCGAAGAAGCGGAGAAGCAGGGAAAAACGGAAAAGCAAAAAGCAGAGAAGCACAACAGTGGAGAAGCGAAGAAACAAAGAAGCAGAGAAGCATAAAAGTGAAGAAGCAGAGAAGCAAAGAAGCATCAAAGCAGAGAAGCATGGAAAAGCAGAAAAGCAAAAAGCAAAGAGGCAGAAAAGCAAAGAAGCAGGAAAACAGAAATCAAAAAAATGCCCAAAACGGAAAAATGATAATCCCAAAAAAAAATAGCCATCCATCAAAAAACATGACACATACTACTACTGTCTGACTATGTACATACCCATTTTTCCACTAGGCCCTGGAAGAAGCATCATTGTCCGCTATTAGTATCCGACACGTTGGAAGCAAAAAAAGTGTATGCCGGCTGATCGAGATCTGCATTGACAATCATTGACATATAGAATCCGCCCCTAAAATCTAAGCTTTTTGTATACAGAATTTGTAGTATTTACCCACAGCCTGTGACAATATAGTTCATCAGCTGATCATCAGCTAATCATAGTTCATCAACTCAAACCCAACAAGAGAGCTGTTTGTCCTCACCCGTCTCTTGGTCCACTTCGCGGAGAGAGAGGTTGAGCTTCGTCCCTGCAATACCTGAATCGGTCACATGGCCATGGGCCATGGGTCACCTTTGCCATGCCTGCCGTAAAGTCTCTCATGGCTAGGGCAGGAACCTATGATTTTCACGAAGCACTCTTGATTCCTCCAGGGCACTGGCATGCTTGCTGCAACTTTCAGCTCTCAGCAATTGTCAGCAACTTTCAGCCTTTGACCCAGTCCAGTCCTTTTCAAATGGTCTGCTGCTCGACTCACGTTTCTTGTCTCCTCAAATCAGTTGCTTGGAAGCTGGAAAGCTCGAAGGTTGGCAGCACACATGACACCGGTCCCGAGAGACTTCGCTCAAGTGAGCCAATCCTTCTCTTCTTCCTGTGTGCGAATTGGAAGGCTAAGATGCAAGATATGTCCCATGCTCAAAGCACAAATATGTATGTATATATATATACTTACATATATTGTATATATATATACGTAAATAAGAATATATATATATACACATATTGTTTATATACACATATAGTTTATATATATATACATATATATTGACTGAAATTATATTATATTATAATATTATATTATATCATATCATATTATATCACATATTATATTATAATTAAATATATTATATTACATTATATTACATTATATTATAGTATATTATAATATATTATAATATATTATAATATATTATAATATTATATATTTTATATATTTTATATTATAAAAATATTTATTATATATTATAATATTATAATATTATAATATTATATATTATATATTATATATTATATATTATATATTATATATTATATATTATATATTGATAATTATATATTATATATTCTATATTATATATTATATATTCTAATATTTTTCTATATTCTATTATATTATATATTCTATTATATTATATATTCTATTATATTATATATTCTATTATATTATATATTCTATTATATTATATATTCTATTATATTATATATTCTATTATATTATATATTCTATTATATTATATATTCTATTATATTATATATTCTATCACATTATATATCATATATTATATATTATATATTATATATTATATATTATATATTGTATATTATATATTATATATAATATATAATATATTATATATTATATATTATATATTCTATATTCTATTATATATTATATATTCTATATTCTATTATATTATATATTATGTATTATATATTATGTATTATATATTTTACATGATATATTATATATTATATATATTGTAATATATGTTATATCATATTATATTATGTTGTGTTATATTATATTATACATTACATATAATATATATATATATGAGCAATGCCTTCGGAGGTCTCGAAGGAAATGAAGGCACCGTACTCCATGAGCCGTGAAACCTGCGCTTTACCAACAGCAAACATGTCGTTGAATGGACGGAATCTTAACCTCAAATCACCCCGCTACGAATCTCCCCTGGACAATCAGTGAATCAGCGGTTTCCTAAACAGAGGAGAATGTGTCCTGAAAATTCCTGAAATCATCTAAAATCTGTGCGCCAGTCCAAATACATGGTTCGAACTTCGAACTGGAGATGTCCAGCCTGACCCTTGTAGATTCCGTAGAGCTCTACCTTGCTGGCAGCATGCTATGTCATAAAATGGGTAGATCGAGCCAAAACAGCATCCACATTTGTTCACAGTCCAAACTCTAGCCATTCTGTTTCAAGTTGTTTCAAGATGTTTCAAGTAGCTCTCAAGATGAGCCAAACCCCTCAGGCAGTTTCCATCGAAACTCTCATGGCCTTCGACGCAAATTTGGTCCAAGCGGCAGGTCCTCGCAGATCCTTTTTCTTTTCTTTCTTGTCTTTCTCCTTCAAGGTGGTCTAATGGCAGTTAAGGCAACTGCAAATGAACGAGATCGGGTGCTCCCTACAGGACCACAGTGTACAATCATGTACAATGCTTTGTTGCTAAAGTTAAATGCTGAATTCGTAGAATACATATCAGTTCATTTTCAATAGGCGTTCGCTCAGGTGACATGTTCCAATCTTGTCAGCAACTGTCCTGGGTATCTTTTTGCCGACTACGACTTCTTTCTCGCCTGCAAGAATGAGTTAACATCCAGCATATTTCTGCTGTGATCCAATCTTACCAAGAGTTCAAGACTTTCCTGGGGAATGTATTCATGATATTCATAGAATACAAAGAAGTGTTGTTGCTGCAAGACTTCAACTGATGTCACTGCTCTCGGGACAGAAGTCAACGGGGCCTCTCCACTTTTCTATCCTTAGCGATCTCCTGAAAACAAAAAGCGGTTCATATGTAGCAAAGAACAATTGGCTGGTTATTGCACGATCTCCATCACTTTTCACAACTCCTGTCCTTGGTTGCGAGTGCTAAGGCTTCGTTGGAGGCCTTCGCATTGGGTCCGCCTGGCGCAGAATCCCTGCTTGTTAATGCGCAAATCAGCAAATTCAACTTGTCAAGAGTGGTAAGAAGCAAAGTTGGTTTGAGAACTCGGCAATGTCAAGGGCTTTGTCTCGTCACCCGCCAATCTATACTTACACACTTACACTATCTCCCCTGCCACTGAGTTCCACACCCTTGGCATCTGCTTGTCCAGGCTTTTGTGGCCCACCCAGTTTTTGAATGAGCCTTGGCTACTCTACCAAGCAACTCAAAGAGCTGTGGACAAAATGGAGATTCCTTGCAGATCCATCTTTGGCCAGTTGAGATGTCTGAATGGAGATGAGCCCAGTCACTCTAACAGCCTTTGGCAGAAAGGGCCGGAAGCCGCTGCTCCATTCTCCTGAAGCTTGGAGGATCTACCATCCTGAGAGATGATGAGATGATCACAGGCCATAGGGCCATAGGATGCCATAGGGCCATAGGATGCCATAGGGCCATACGTAACTTCCAATGTGGTTCTGCCGTCTCCTGAAGCTTGGCCTCAAAATCATCGACGCTGGAAGACGACTCACCCAGGTCAATCACAAACTCGGCGAGCCTGGCACCAGACTGGGGACACCAATGGATCATATGAATCATACCCCTAGACTCTGAACGAAAAATGTACATAATTACACTCTGCCGGTGGCTCAAATATGTATATTCAAGACATCTTCGTGTTCTCGAGAAAACACAGAACAGGATACCACAATGCATCATGTAGAAGAGGCTGCGTGTAGGACCAAGACATTCTGGTTACTTCTGGAGGCTCTCTCCCGTGGTAACGTCTGAACATGCAAATCCTCGATGCCACGTGGCAACTTTGCTCCAACACAAGTCTGTCAAAGAACTAAAACCACCAAATTCCCGACCGTCTTGAATGGTTGAATGAACGCATGATTCGCCGCATGCCTCTTCGTTTGGACTTAAAAGTCATTCTATAGGGAACAACAAATAACTGATTCGAGCATCCCAGTTGGCTGAATGTAACCCCTGCCATTTTGTTGTTCGCCCCGAATCGCAAAGCCGCAAAGCTAGCCAGAGAAGCGTTTTGTCTTCGATGCCCCAGTGATTCCTAAGACCATGCTGACCCACGCAACATGCCGATGCCCTGCACAGTGCAACTTGTCAGCCTCTATTCTAAGACTCTAAGATACGTGGATGATCGTTGCAAAACCAGGAAGCTTACTTTATTGAAGTGGATACTTTACACGCACCTGCAGCATCAAATGTACTATGATTTGAACAAATGGGAGTACCATCCAAGTCCATGGCTGAATCTCAATGGTGACTTTGGAGACCAAACTAAGTCTCCGCAAGGCCTGCAATGTTATCACTTCAGTAGAGATTGGAACGACAAAGTGCTGAATCACTGAAGATGTTGCGGTGCCTCCATGGCAGATGGGGCAGCCTCAGCCTCTAGTGGAAGGCTGCCCACTATGCCGTCATCATCGCTTGAATCACACGCAAAGCTGCGAACACACCGGCCGCACGCGTTGATGAGGTGCAAAGAGTGGCGGCACAGGGTGGCTGAAAATATGTGATCAATGAGTACTATTCACTATTGTCAGATAATGCCAAGCATCAAATGAAACACACAAATGTCAGAGAGACGACTTTTTGTGGCAAACGCAGCTCAGGTATACATTCGTAAGAAAGCTGAGTCAACCCATCACGTCTGCAGTATGGAGCCGGTCGAAAATTGGCCACAGGGACCATATCAGTCAGTTGAAATAGGTTGATGGACCAGATCACAGCGGTCGGGGTCATCAAATGGTAGATCGGCTCTATACGGACCTGCAGGAACCCTAAACCTGATTTACAAACACTACAGGTCGGGGTTTCTGGCAAAACAGAGGCTTTGCTGATTCGGCTCCATATCTTGTAGTATATAATTGATGTCCTCTTGATTGTTTGTGTCATTGCTTGATGTTTTTTGCATTATTCAATTAACCATAGACAGGCACACAGTGCTTATGGCTTCTTGTTGAACTAGACCACACAGGCGTGCCTCTGTTTGCATCGAATTGCTATTTCTACATCCTGGCCCATGAGGCCAAATAGGGTTGCACGCAGGCGCGTGTTATATGAGTGTTGTCTGGCGCCCTTGAAACTGGGCTTGTTTGGGCCCCTGGCGTTGTATGTATGTGCCGCATGTGCCTCGCTTTTTGGCCCGAAATTGCAACCCTCAGATTCGCATCTTGCTATCCTCTCACTGTTTGCTTCATCTTTCTGCCATCATATTCAGCACTCCGTTCTTTCGTGTTCGTTTCGCCGAAACCCTGCTGTGGAATTGAAATCCTCGGTGACCAAGTAATCATCAGCAATAAGAGGACAATGGCCCCTGATTCTGGCAAACGATATCAAAAAATCCTCGCCAAACAATCTTCGTACAAAAGCCATTGAGCTCAGCCCTCAGCGAATTCTGGGCATTGGCAGAAAGCCTCCAAAGCAACAAAGCGGCCACGGGACATCATCTGCCAATCTTCCACTTCTTGAAATCGTTTTTGTCACATTGTCAGCACAAAGATTCTGCCTTGCTGGTGTCGAACACCTGTCCTCACCGGTCCTTCTCATCACTTGGTGCCTCCGGATTTTGCTTCAGGAAGATTTATCACAGAAATTGGCAGCACTTTCACCCACTTTCACAGTGTCGCAAACAACCAGATTCCGATGGGCCAAAGTTGGGTCGGCCCAAAGGGATGGTCACAGGCCTTTCTCCCAGGCGTCCACCACGATGGATTGACCACCCAGACTCTGACAGTTCAGTCCAGAGATGGCCTCGAGTCACTCCCCAAACCACCCAAACTCAACCTCAGAACTGGATGGTTGAATCATGTTGAATCAGTTGAATTCCAGAAAATGGACAAAAACTGCACCTAAGGGTGGAGTTTCACTGGCATCGTGAAGTTGGAGTCAATTGGGTCCCTACTTGCGATGCTTCCTCAGCGGTTGCGTACCTCAAACGAATTCAAATCTTCCCAGCCGCTTGAGTTGCCAAGAGTTTTTGAAAATCAATTGCAGTAAGGGCACACGACGGCAGCGGTGCCCTTTCCCTTGCCACGGAAGATCTCAACCCATTTGCTCTTGGCAACCTTTGCAATTGCAATGACAGGGCCTTCTATATCTTCTATAGATTACATTTGAATGCTCTCATTTGCTGAAATGCTGGTTGCTTCCCATCAATGATTGACTGTGCTATGTTGCGCACCGAGTCCACCAAAGTCTGCAACTCCTTCCATTGGACGCCCTGGGCCGTGCCATGTCAGGCTCGTTGTCACTCATGGCTCGTTGTACATCACTGACAGATACTGACAGTACGTGAATTTCACGTGAATCAGTACGTCCCACCTCGGGGATGTTGCCAATCCACACCTTCCTGTCGGGATCCTTAGTTCAACCCCGGCCCAACACTCACGAAAGAACCAGAACCTGCTACCGCCTTGCATGATGTTCATTGTGCACTCGTGCTGAGGGTCGTACAGTACCTTTTTATGTGTCATGAGTCATGTGTTTCAACAGCATTTCAACAGGTTTTCAGGTGTATTTTCAAGTCATCTGTTTGAATTGGAATTCAGTTCCGCTGAGCTGTCGGCGACCTTCAGGGGACTCTTGCCTTTGCCCTTTCCCTTGCCTTTGAAACCAAACCTCAGCAAACGCGTCAAAAGCCACTTTCTGCAAAGCTCCTACCAAAAAGTCCCACAAGCATGGAGATATTTTGAAAAAACTACAAAAGTCTGAAGCTAAAGCTAGCATGTCTTCAGATGATGATATTAGATTTCAGGAAAGTGCCTTAAAAACCACTGCTTGGTTAGCACCCTGCTTTCGAATCGCAGCGTACACAAAAGCTCGAGCCATGCAGCATGGGTGGCATCATCATTCCGCCATAGGCCCCCATCATCATGCCCTTGCCAGAAAGGTGGCAATACGCATCTCTGCATCTACAGACGTAATGTTGCTGGAATCGTCCTAAACGTAATCTATCAAGAAAGGCTGCTCAGTGCTCAAATGCCAATTGTGTCCCAATTCAAATCTCTGCATGCTTGCTTGGCACAAAGGACAGCAACTTGACTCTTGTTGGTACAAATCGGACATGCTAGAATGATGTACTCTACAAGCTTTCTGAATCGTGATCCTTTAAAAAACACACCTTCACAGGGTGAGTACACAGATTTCATGGACAGCTACATATTACACGTTTCCGCATCTTGCTTCAGCGATCCACTTCACCATCCCCGCCTTGCCACCATCCCAAGGGCCGAAGCCATAGCCGAAGGGGTAGCCCTTCCCCCAGCCTCTCAGCGAAATTGGCAAATTCTCCACCTGTCACTGACCTGTCACTGACCTGTCACTGGTCCACGGCCATGGCGCCTTTGTTGTTCCACCCATCGCCACCTTTGCCGTACCTGGAACATGGTAGAACTGTCATCAGGTGGGTCAAAGGGTCAAAGCGCCATTGCATGGGTCAAAATATGTCAAAATGGCTGAGCGCCGCGCATTTTCGCAAATGCGGTGCTGTCTGGTTACTACAGGCAAGGTGAGCCAAAAATGTCTCACCGTGATCCAGCAACGATTGCAGAAGATAAGTCATCAGGATGTGCAATTCTTTGTGACAAGCCCCAGTGATCAAGACCCAGGCGCTTCCAAACCTCCGAATGTGGTGATAATGATCACTGTATCTGACGAAGACATGTGTATATATATATACTGCAGTTGTATGCTTTCCTTGAAGCATGTGAAGGTGGCACTTGTCAGGCATCAAGTATGTTTTTGTTCTGTCGCATCATGCCAGCATTCAAGGAATGATGCGTCAGAAATCCATGGGAAGACTTGATGTCCCCAGCGAGCTGTCTAAGAAATACAGCTCGCATGAGCAGGCGCCTTAGAAGCCAGGAACCCTCAAGACATTGCATGGATTTCTTTCATCTGAATATCTCACCTGTATCAGAAAAACATCCATGCTTTGAGTCAACTTCTGTGGGTCCAATGTGAATTCTGTCTAGTGGCCATGGAGAGGCCATCTCGCTAGGACACGAAAGCTTCCTGCGAAGTTCAGGCGAATCCACTGGTTCCGGTGGTCATGTGCCAGTCATCCGTCATCATGTGGCCTGGTTTGCCGCCTGCAGCCAGCAGCGCTCCTGACCAATATTCGTCCATGTTCACTTGGTCACTGTTCCTAGGGTCGATAGTCCGATAGGTGACTATTCTGGGTCAGAAATCCTTTTTTGGCTTCGTGAATTTAAAATTTCAAAGATGGGCACCTGCACCCACTAGACATGCGGCTAAGCTTTGGAATCTCAATATCTTCCGAACCTATCCCAGCACCCACACTCCTCATAGCAGAGTCCCCCAAAGGACTCAAAAAGTTCAATCATAGTCTGGTAGGACCTGCTGCTGGACACGCAACTTGCCAAGCCTTTACTGTGACTTGCAGGTCATGAACGAAACAGACATACAAAGGCCTGTTGATCTTGATCTGCAAGCCTCAGGAAGCACAATCCCATTGGTTCCCATTGCATGTTCGATGAACAACTGCTCTTGAAGTCTTAAAGCATACCGGCCTCTCAACATTGCAATTCGTGGCGAAAAAGCAACATGCAGCGCAATATGCAGAACAACATGCAGCTCTCTGGTCTTTTTTGCCAAGCCGAGGATGTTCACACGTGCCTAAGGTAACGAACAAAGATGGCCTAGATTGGCCTAGATTGGTGTGGCAAAAAACATGGCCCTGTATCCGCAAGAGCTGGAGGGGACCCTACAGTGGCGCGAGACACGCCGAGACACGAGGGCTATGGCTCGTTGTGTTTACACAAACGCGTCCGGTTGCGGCGCATACATGCACTGGTGGTGAAATACCTAGAAATTGACTATCGAGATAAGTTCAAAAATATTAGGAAAGGTTGCCAAGATTTGTCAAGTATGTACTGAATGGATCCTTGCACAAAAGGGTCACAATCACCTTGAAACCCGTCACAAGGCAGAAAAAAAAATGGTCCGCTGCCAACACTTCGAGGCAATCTGATGCTTCCAAATCAGCAATTTCTAACAGATGGGCTGCCAAAGTGCATCCGCACATTACCATATCTCAGAACCCACATAAAACTTGGATGTAGCAATACCAAGAAGTACAAAAAATCCTTGTTGTTTGGCTTTAGTGGGAGTCTCCCACCGTATCTGTGGGGCCTCCATGATCTTCCAAGCTACGAATTTGCCAATTCCAATCAAATTCGTTGGCTCAAATTTACTCAGGACCGCCACATTGACCTCTGGTAGATTCAACAAACTACCTCTGGCCATCTATGCCATCTATGACCAGTCTGTGGCCCTATCTGCCAGGAAGTTTCATTAACAGCTTTGCCACGTCCCTCGGAACAGTGGTGAGAAGCAGCTGCACTGCTGAAAAAACTCTGTCCTATTCCCTGCGCGCAGTTCTCATCGCGAAGCGACTCGAATACAAGATACTTCACAAGGCCAACTTCGGACGACACTCAGTCAGACATCCCATGCACGATCTGGGCAACATGTGGAAGTCTGAGGCCTTGGTTGCAAGATACACTTCCAAGGCGTTGAGGGTGTCCAAAAGTGTGGCCAAAAAATGGTTGTTATATGTTGTGATGTGTTGTTATATGTTGTGATGTGTTGTTATATGTTGTTATGTTGTGATATGTTGTGATATGTTGTGATGTGTTGTTGTGTGTTGTTATGTGTTGTTATGTTCTGATGTGTTGTTATATGTTGTTATATATATATGTTGTGATATGTTGTGATGTGTTGTTATATGTTGTGATGTGTTGTTATATGTTGTTATGTTGTGATATGTTGTGATATGTTGTGATGTGTTGTTGTGTGTTGTTATGTGTTGTTATGTTCTGATGTGTTGTTATATGTTGTTATATATATATGGTGTGATATGTTGTGATATGTTGTGATATGTTGTGATGTGTTGTTATATGTTATTATGGTCTGATGTGTTGTTATATGTTGTTATGTGTAGATATTGTTATATGTTGTGATGTTTTGTTGTATGTTGTTATGTTTTGATGTGTTGTTATATGTTGTTCTATGTTGTGATAAGTTGTTATATGTTGTGATGTGTTGTTATATGTTGTTATGTGTTGTTATATGTTGTTATGTTGTGATGTGTTGTTATATGTTGTTATATGTTGTGATGTGTTGCTACACGTTGTTAAATGGTGTGATGTGTTGTTATATGGTGTTATATGTTCTGATGTGTTGTTATATGTTGTTATGGTGTGATGTGTTGTTACATGTTGTTATATGTCGTGATGCGTTGTTACATGTTGTTATATGTCGTGATGTGTTGTTGTATGTTGTTATATGTTGTGATGTGTTGTTGTAGTTTTATGTTGCTATATGTTGTGCTGTGTTGTTATCGTGATATGTTGTTATATGTTGTAATGTGTTGTTATAGTTACATGTTGCTATATGTTGTGATGTGTTGTTTGCTATATGTTGTGATGTGCTGTTAAAGTTATATGTTGATACATGTTGTGATGTGATGTTATAGTTGTATGTTGCTATATGTTGTGATTCGGTGTTATATTTATATGTTGTTATTATATGTTGTGATGTCTTGTTATAGCTAGATCTTGCTATATCTTGTGATGTGTTGTAATCGTTATATGTTGTTATATGTTGTGATGTGTTGTTATAGCTTTCTGTTGCTATATGTCGTGATGGGTTGTTATAGATATATGTTGTTATATGCTGTGATGTGTTGTTATAGCCATATGTATCCATATGTTGTTATATGTTGTGATGTGTCGTTATAGTTTTATGTCGCTATATGTTGTGATGTGTTGTTTTATGTTGTCTTATGCTGGGAAAAATGTTGGTATGTGAATAACCCAATGCTGTTTTTTCCGCGACGGGATCAGCACTATTGACAACATGAACAAGCACAACATTCTCAGTCCAACTCAATGGATATGACCTCAATGCAAATCTCAGGCAAAACTTGGGAACCATGTTCGCCTGTGTAAAGTGCCCATCATCATTGTACAAATTGTAGTTGTTTTTTGACTGCCGGTTCTGAAAGTCATGGAAAGATGCACCCGCCAAGAATGGTTTCCTCTCGGTCCGGTTTCATGATACACACTTGCCAGGTGGCACAACTTGCCAGCTGGCACGACATAAATCTCGGCCTTCAATGCCTCTCTGAGGATCTTGCAGTCGCGGCGGACTGCTGTCTTCCTGCAAAAACAGATCATGTAACGGTGTAAAGTCTTGGAATGTAGGTGATTGGAATTAAGAGAAAGTGTTCACTTCAGAACTTCATGTCGATCTGGCCTACCAAGTTTGAACACAAGCAGACAGCAGTCAAACAAGCTGCAGCCATCGAGGCACATGCCACCCTCCACAAGCTCAGAAGAGATCAAAGCCTGGGCCGCCCCACTCCGCCCAGGAAGGCCACACTCCAATGTCTGGTGACTTTGATATGTAATATGTAAATATAATTATGTATGTATGTGTATATATATATACAGTATAATTATGATATATATATATATTTATACAGTATATACTATATATACATATGCCCACACAGAATCATAACTCGCATCATGTTGCATCAAGTTGCATCCCTGTCAAGTGATGTAAATTGAGTGTTTGTCCAGAGTCCCAATGGCCATGTTGACCAACAAATGAGGCAAGGGCTATAAAGCCATCTAGGTCGATTGCCAATGTTTCTCGCACTCGAAGAATGCGATAGTCCATGAGGACTATGAGGACTCATTTGGCTTTTGTGCGCAGCCACAAACCTGCAGCGGTCCAAAACGAGGAATTATGAAGCAGAAACCAGGTGAGTATTCATCAAGCTCTTGAACCATGTTGAACCATCTATATAGCAATCAGCAAAATGGTTCCTGCTCCTAAATTTTTACAGGAAAGTTGGCATGTTCGAAGGATGCCCCCTCTTGCAATGTAAAATCTCCGTTTGGTGACTGATGACTGCCTCAAGGAGAACAAACAGAAAAATATGTTGAAACAGGGAATGCAGAGTATGAAATAAAATAGTGCAACGCAAGGAGGCATACATTAGCGTTGAATTGCCTGTTGATTTCGCGAAGGAGTTCATGAATATCTTGAAGTTCCCAGCCACGGTTGAACTCGTGCATGACCTGAAAGGGGAGTGGGGCCTGGCTTCCGTCGTCTCGCTGGGATGAACATTGGTCCATCAAAGTTATTGTCGATCCGGTGACCAGACTGAGTGAAGTACATGAAAGCGATGGTAGAATAAAAGCCAAACGGAAGACATTTATGGTCCAGGTCACTATTCTGGCCCTGGCTTTCAGCCATTCTTTCTCAGTTTCTGCAGCCGAGTTTCAGCCATGAGATCCTCCTCCTCAAGATGACCATTTGCAGCTTTGTCCAAGCGATTGAATTGAGCCTCTGCTGCCACTTCCATAGAATCGTAAACTGGTCTGTAAAGGATCTGGGTGAGTCAAAACCCTGGTAACTAACCTGGTGAACACCACATCAAATTCCCTGCCAACTACATGTTAATCCCCCAAATATGGTTGCGTGGTTATTGCTAAATCACTGTCTTGCTTTTCATGATGGATTTGGTTGATTTGGCCGATGAACTTGTGCCTCTGGACAGCCACCCGTCAGTCATGAGGGACCTTCACCAGGTCATCTGCCTGCTTGCTGTGCGAGTGGCCAAATGCGCCATGCGCTTTGATGCAGTTTAGCAGTTTGATTGAAATGCTGGAAGTGAAAGGGTGTCGTATGGTGTCGTGTCTTACGTACTTGCAAAAGCAACTTGAATGCAACTGTTCCTGCCAGAACCGGTGGAGCATCAATGGACCTGGCCTAGTTTCAGAGTTTTACCATATGCCCAAGGCGCAAACTGCTGCCCTTTTCACACCAGCGACTCACTAGTGCGGAGAAGAACAGCCATCAGCTGGGAGATTTGTGACTTCTGGGTACGAACTTGGAGGCAACAGGGGAAGGATACTGTGGCATGCGTGCAGAATCCCGTCTGTTGTCAAACCTCAGCTTTGGAGGCAGATCTGAGTGATCTGAGTCTCAAGAGTTCAGTGATGGTGCGAAAATCTTGCTCTGAGAATTCGACCTGGAACGGATCACTTGGCTGGCCCCTGATGTAGCGATGTCGAAAGGCACGCATTCGGTTCATGAGGTCCGTGTTGTCGTTGCTATCACCAAATTCGTAACCCCATTCTCGCAAACGGGATTGCAGGGCATCCTTAAAACCTAAGCCTTCGGGCACTCCAGTCGTCTGAGCCCCGTTGACCTCCAAGGTGAAACCTTCGTCCACCAATCGGCTCCAGTCAAAGCTCTTTCCAGGTGCTGGACACTCAGGGGGCCGTTGTTCCACCTCACCTGCACTTAGGACGTTCCATGGTGGCAATCCACCATGCTCTTTCCACCTGGTTCTGATTTCTCTGAGCAAAGAAACAAGAGTGGTGTATTGCTTATCATCATATGGCTTTTCACCATCACCTTCCAAAATAATGGAGACGGCATAGGTCTTCAATTCATTGATGATGCCAACCCCAGGGATCCTGTTGGGGACATCGTTAGGTGTCCCAATATTCGCTGACTTCCAGAAGGCAAAATTGCAGCACCAGGCCATGTACTGTTCTTCCACCAGTTGGATGCAATCACCCTTTTCCGAGATGAGGTAATGAGGGTTGACTTCTGCTTCGGTAAACCATGGCTCGTAAACTATGGATCGTAAACCATGGCTCGTAAACCATGGCTCGTAAACTATGGATCGTAAACCATGACTCATAAACCATGGCTCGTAAACCATGATTCGTAAACCAAGACGGCCATGACTCGTAAACCATGGCTCGTAAACTATGGATCGTAAACCAAGATCCGTATTATAAACTATGCTCCGTCAACTATGCTTCGCGCCACAACGGCGTGCACTTGTTCGACATCTCAACTGCCAAAAGTGGTCCGGACCTGGTGTGTTTTGTACATGTTGACTTCAAAATGTGCTTCGCGCCACAACGGCGTGCACTTTTTCGACATCTCAACTGCCAAAAGTGGTCCGGACCTGGTCTGTTTTGTACATTTTGACTTCGAAATGTGCTTCGCGCCACAACGGCGTGCAATTGTTCATCTCTCATCTCCCCAGATGTCTCCGCATCCGCCGCTTTAGCGAGCCTACTTTTCAACCCTCCGGAGCCACAAAACCACCAAAAAACACAGTGTTTCGCGACTTTCCTACCTTTTCGCGCACCTGCATCTTCTTTCTTCTGACTCTTTCTCTTCTGATCTTCTCTCTTCTAATCTTTCTCTTCTCTCTGCCTCTGCCCTGCTCTGCTTTTCATCTGTCCATACTGTCGGAAGTTTGACTTCTAAACTTCCTTCGATGATGTGTAAGATGAGACTGTGCATGTACTTGCCAGAGGGGATGGGATTTTGATATGACGTGGAAGATGAGAATGTGCATGTACTTGCCAGAGGGGGTGGGATTTTGATATGACGTGTAAAATGTGGCTGTGCTTGTAATTGCCAGAGGGGGTGGGATTCTGATATGACGTGTAAGGTGAGACTGTGCATGTACTTGCCACAGGGGGTGGGATTTTGATATGACGTGTAAGATGAGACTGTGCATGTACTTGCCAGAGGGGGTGGGATTTTGAGATTACGTGTAAGATGAGACTGTGCATGTACTTGCCAGAGGGGGTGGGATTTTGATATGACGTGGAAGATGAGACTGTGCATGTAGTTGCCAGAGGGGGTGGGATTTTGATATGATGTGTAAGATGAGACAGCGCATGTACTTGCCAGAGGGGGTGGGATTTTGATATGATGTGTAAGATGAGACTGTGCATGTACTTGCCAGAGGGGGTGGGATTTTGATATGACGTGTAAGGTGAGACTGTGCATGTACTTGCCACAGGGGGTGGGATTTTGATATGACGTGTAAGATGAGACTGTGCATGTACTTGCCAGAGGGGGTGGGATTTTGAGATTACGTGTAAGATGAGACTGTGCATGTAGTTGCCAGAGGGGGTGGGATTTTGATATGACGTGGAAGATGAGACTGTGCATGTACTTGCCAGAGAGGGTGGGATTTTGATATGATGTGTAAGATGAGACTGTGCATGTACTTGCCAGAGGGGGTGGGATTTTGATATGATGTGTAAGATGAGAATGTGCATGTACTTGCCAGAGGGGGTGGGATTTTGATATGACGTGGAAGATGAGACTGTGCATGTAGTTGCCAGAGGGGGTGGGTTTTTGATATGATGTGTAAGATGAGACTGTGCATGTACTTGCCAGAGGGGGTGGGATTTTGATATGACGTGTAAGATGAGACTGTGCATGTACTTGCCAGAGGGGGTGGGATTTTGAGATTACGTGTAAGATGAGACTGTGCATGTACTTGCCAGAGGGGGTGGGATTTTGATATGACGTGGAAGATGAGACTGTGCATGTAGTTGCCAGAGGGGGTGGGATTTTGATATGATGTCTAAGATGAGACTGTGCATGTACTTGCCAGAGGAGGTGGGTTTTGGTTGCTGAGGTTTGGTTGCTGAAGCGAGAGTAGATTTTGGTTGCTGAGCCGTAGTTGCTGAAGCGAGAGTTAGTTTTGGTTGCTGAAGCGTAGTTGCTGAAGCGTAGTTGCTGAAGCGAGAACCTAGTTTGGTTGCTGAGCCGTGGTTGCTGAGCCGTGGTTGCTGAGCCGTGGTTGCTGAGCCGTGGTTGCTGAGCCGTGGTTGCTGAGCCGTAGTTGCTGAGCCGTAGTTGCTGAGCCGTAGTTGCTGAAGCGGAGTTTAATCAGGTAATGAGGCCCCATACCATATTTCTGGAAATCTTCCACCGCAGCAGCTGCTGATCCTGTGTTGCCAAGGATGACAAACCGGGGCTGCTCGATTGGGGCAGTGTGACGGTTGACCCTCCTCCTGTGCGATTTCCGGATGTCTTCCACAAAATCTGGAAGCTTTGCACTTAATGTCGTCGGAAAAATGCTGTAGCCCCATTTCCTCAAGCTGGAAAGGAGTAGAGAAACAGAGGATAAAATGCCCGAAGCACTCTTGGCACTGGAGCTGCTTGAACGCGGGCGGTCTGTATATTGCACCACTGGTTCTTCTTGCTGTTCCACTTTGCGAATCGCTTTCATGGCCTCCAGGGACCACATCATCATGTGGTCAAAACGTTTGGATGTGGTGCTTTGCAGTATTTTTTTCAAGCGACCACTCTGGAAGGAAAAACTCAGAAGTGTGGTAACGAAGGGTTGTATAGAAATATCATCAAATATCTACACTGCACTACACTGCCTGTTGTGCACTACACAACACGAAAGCCAACTGGTCATCAAAATAAACAGCAAAAAAAGTCACAAACACATGGCAATCCCATTGGCCGATCCCACGTAGCAGTCAAGGTTGAGGATTTTGCAGGTGATTACTGTAACCCCATTGCCAGGATCAAGAAATATCAAGAAACATATGTTACCACACCACCAAGGCCTGATCCAGGACAGCGTAAATCTCATGGCTACTGGTGATGCGGGGAATGGACTGTGCCATGGTTCGAGCAAAGGGGCTCTCTTCAGCGTCTATATCATGTGCTGCAGAATGCCCAGACGGAGTTGAAAAGAACCTAAGATACTCGTTGTTGTGGCAACGCTCCTGAATGTCCGCACTGACCTCGTCCTCAAGGTTGCTGCGACAGGCATCAATTCCAAAGACCACTTTGCAGCCTGTGATTTTTGACTCAGCTTCAATCTTGGCTATGATGCCTGGCAGTGGGATGTAGTCCTCTGTTCGCTTGGCATCTGCTGGTATGAACCGGAACACACGATCCCGGTCAAACTCACAGCCATTACCAGCATAGTAAAACAGGAAGTCTTTGCTTCCTTCTTCCCCTGCCTGCTGAGTCATCAGCTTAATCCATTCTTCGATGAGCTCATAAAACTCATCCCGACTCGGCTGAAACTTGATGATGGCCACTTTACCAGTGGCCGCCTCAAAAGCATCTGCAACAAGCTTAACTTCCTTTTGGCACCTTAGCCTTTCGTACTCGTTCTTATTTTTTTCATCTTCCTTCACTAATTCTGCGTACTTTTGCTCTTCATCACTTTGCTCTTCATCAAGACTAGGAGGAATGGGAGGAATGGGCTCTGCAAAGCAACTGATCACAAGCGCTGCTCCAAGCACGCAGTGGACCGATTCAGCTGGGCAAGGGCAAGAGTCCAAAAATCGCTTGAGTGCGGCCGGATCCATCTTTCCCAGCGCCTCAAGCGTTTGTATGAATCTTTCTGCTGTAGCTGCATCATTTTTCTCAAGCCTTTCGCTTGCAGTCTTCAGGCTCTCCCAAATCTTAGCCTTTCTTTCCATGAGAAATACCAGCTTGGAGCTTCTTGAAAACAAACAAAATTGTAGAAGGACGATGTGGAAACTTTCTTTGAGCCGTATATGCAATGCAGGAGCTGTTCATTTCCCAATCTTTCTGAAGCACCTTCGAAAATCACACTTCACTCAATATTTGCCATGTCAAACTTGGAACCTTCAAGGAACTGTCACCGAGAAGCTCCATAACAGGGACTTATGAATAGAAAGACTCGCAATTGCACTCAAGATCCTTTTGATTCCCCAAAACTCCAGAGAATTGGCCTTATGTGGGCTTCTGTCTTCGGAAGCACATCCTTGCTTGCCTCAGAGGGCGGAGATTTTCAGATTTGTAAGACCCACCGGGACGAGACAACATCAGAACTTCACCAAGGAAAGTGAACTCCAGAACAAGACCATATTGCAGTCCTATCGTGTCCTATCCCCATGTTTGGGCCTCGATATCTAGGGAAATCTTCCTCCACAAGTATCACACTCCAATGCTCACATCAACAGGATTCAAGTGCGCGTAATCAGTGAAATCATAAAAGTCGTAAAAGCATACGGTAACAGGAACTTCCCAATGCTCACTTCACAGTTTTGTAAGCCTTTCCTCTCTCGTGCCATCCCTCCGGGGCTCCGGTCAGACCATAGAAAGTCCTGAAATCTCAAACATTGGCACTTGATGGCACTTGATGGCACTTGTCAAACAGCAGAGATATCTTTGCCGAGTACAGAGCCCGACCTCAACGGCCTTGTGCTGATTGCTGGCACTACATGTCGGATACCACGTTGCTTTTCCATCTCCACACCATAGTGAGAGGGGCGGTTCAGTTGGTATTTTAATCGCACAATCTTCGATGGCATCCACGGCAAGAGATTCGTGCAGCGATCTTGGCCGAGGCACGAAAAGTTAGATATCCTTGGAGGTTCAACTGGTGGCAAAACAGCTTGTGGAAGTTCATGCTGATGCTGAAATTGCAGCTTGTTGAACCTCGGCTGCAAGATAAAGCTACTGCTGAAATGGAAGTGCTGGAAACAACCACCCATATTCTGAGAAGATACTATATAACTTCATTAAACTTCACAGCACCGGACGATGGCCAAGCATAATGCAACTCCCAAGAATTGCCAAGCAACATTGCTGCCAAGCCTTTCAGGTGCTGGTCGAACTGACGGGCAATATCTGCAGCATCCTGCAGGGCTTCCAGTTCCCTTTGCACCTGTTTCCTTTCGTGCAGAAATTCCTGGAATAGACTTGTCAAGTGTGTATGGCAAGTGTATGGTTTCCTGTGACGGGAAAAGTTAGAACTCCTTGCGTAAGAAAGTGTTTTCGAATGTGTCCGAAAACTCACACTATGAGGCAATAGGCAACAAATGCATGCAGAACTTTTCGGCTTCCCATTTGCACGTGAGCCGCTACAGAAACTGACCTTTAGCTTCTCAATTCGTTGTCGTTCCCACATCAATTACTATCTATATTACAGAACAAAGCTAACGCCCTGAATAAACGCCAGTCTTGTCCCTACTGCGCCTTATGTGTCGAGTCTTTGCTGGGAGACCGTTCTTTGCTGGGAGACCGTGATGTTGCGTTTTGCTTGCCACGGAGCTCATCAGCATCGGTTGCTGGTCGCGGCATGGCAAGCCAAGTCAAAGACAGGTTCGACGAGCAAAACTGTGGAGAAATGACTGTCCCTACTTCCCTACACAAAACTAGACGACGGATGGCCCGAGAGCGTAGAGGAGCAGGGTCTTCTCTTGTTAGTATGGAGACACAATTTTAGAAACAATATATGAAAGATGTGTTATAGGCAGTCGAGAAGAGGAGTATCAAGACAAAATAGTGAGAAGTGCAAGACAATAGTTTGCATCGCAAACACTTTTGCACACAGACGCTTTTACACACAAAAGCTTTTACACACAGAAGCTTTTACACACAGAAGCTTTTACACACAAAGCTTTTACCCACAGAAGCTTTTACATACAGAAGCTTTTACACACAGCCGCTTTTACACAGATACTTTTACACACAGACACGTTTACACACAGACACTGTTACACACAGACCCTTTTACACACAGGAGCTGCTTTTACACACAAACGCTTGTACACACAGAAGTTTTTACACATAGACGCTTTTACACACAGGCACTTTTACACACAAACACTTTTACACACAAACACTTTTACACACAGACGCTTTTACACACAAACACTTTTACACACAAACACTTTTACACACAGACACTTTTACACACAAACCCTTTTACACACAGACACTTTTACACACAAGAGCTTTTACACACAGACACTTCTACACAGATGCACTTCTACACACAGAAAACCTTTTACACACAGATGCTTTTACACCCAGAGGCTTTTACACACAGAAGATTGCACACACAGAAGCTTTTACACAGAAGCTTTTACACACAGACACCTTTACACACAGAAACATTTACACACACACGCTTGGACACACAGACACTTTTACACACAAACACTTTTACACACAAACATCTTCACACAGAAACACTCTTACACACAAACCCTTTTACACAGAGACACTTTTACACACAAAAGCTTTTACACACAAACACTTTTACACAGATGCACTTGTACACACAAACAGTTTTACACACAAACATCTTTCCACCGAAACACTCCGACACACAAACACGTTTACACACAGAAAAAAAAAACACAAACACTTTTACACAGCCAGAAGCTTTTTTACACACACACAACGTTTAACAGATGGAGAATTTACTGCAATCAACTTTTACACACAAACATCTTTACACAGAAACGCTCGTACACACAAACCCCTTTTCCTGCGAAAGGATTACTCCAGCACACGATAAATCGCAATTTTACCTCAGTTTTTGCCGATCGACCTTCATTTCGTGCGAAAGGGTTGCTCCAGCACACGAAAAATCACAATTTTACCTCAGTTTTTGCCAATCGACCCTCATTTCGTGCGAAAGGGTTGCTCCAGCACACGAAAAATCGCAATTTTACTTCAGTTTTTGCCGATCGACCCTCATTTCGTGCGAAAGGGTTGCTCCGGCACAAGTAGAATCGCAATTTTACCTCAGTTTTTGCCGATCGACCCTCATTTCGTGCGAAAGGGTTGCTCCGGCACAAGTCAAATCGCAATTTTACCTCAGTTTTTGCCGATCGACCCTCATTTCGTGCGAAAGGGTTGCTCCGGCACAAGTCAAATCGCAATTTTACCGCAGTTTTTGCCGATCGACCTTCATTTCGTGCGAAAGGGTTGCTCCAGGACAAGTTAATCGCATTTTACCTCAGTTTTTTTTGCCGATCGAAAAACGCATCCCTCATTTCGTGCGAAGGGGTTGACGTTTCGTGACTCACCGCCGGTACCACCCTCGGCCTAAAGAGAGAAAGATAAAGAAGGCGAGAGAGAGAAAAAGGAGAGAGAAAGGAGAGAAGATGTGAAGGTGAGAAGATGTGAGAGAAGGTGTGAAGATGAGCAGATGTGAAGATGAGCAGATGTGAGAGAAGATGTGGAGATGAGCAGATGTGAGAGAAGATGTGAGAGAATATGTGAGAGAAGATGTGAAGATGAGCAGATGTGAGAGAAGATGTTAGAGAAGATGTGAAGATGAGCAAATGTGAAGATGAGCAGATGTGAAGATGAGCAGATGTGAGAGAAGATATGAAGAAAGATGAGCAGATGAGAGAAGATGTGAGAGACGATGTGAGAGAAGATATGAAGATGAGCAGATGTGAAGATGTGAAGATGAGCAGATGTGAAGATGAGCAGATGTGAGAGAAGATGTGAAGATGAGCAGATGTGAAGATGAGCAGATGTGAGAGAAGATGTGAAGATGAGCAGATGTGAAGATGAGTAGATGTGAAGATGAGAAGGTGTGAAGATGAGAAGGTGAGATACAGACCCCCACTATTGGAAGAACCCTGCGCTCAGACGCTCTCGGGAAAAACGCTGAAACAGGAGGTGAAACATGATCTATTGTGAGAAGAGACAGCAGTAGCTACGGCATTCAGGGCGCACTCAGAGTCCGCTCAGTTGCTCTTTTCCAAGCATCATTATCATTGGGAACTCTGAGTGCGCCCTGAATGCCGTAGCTTTGCTGTCATTTTCACATTAGACCATGTCTCACCCTCCTGTTTCACCGTTCTCTCATTTCTCACCACTCTTGTTGCGACCCGGCGTTGTCGGTGTTTGCTTCGAAGTGCCTGGTTGAATGTCATGCCTGTACGGCTGCTCTTTGTGATCTCGGGGATCCTGGCTGGGGGGATCCCCGGTTTCCGCATGGAGCTTTTGTTGCTTCTATCACCCGATGTGGCCGTTTGTTCTTTTCTGTTGTGTGTTTGTTTTGATGGGATTGCTCACTGGACTTTGTACCAGCTCTTTTGAGGCTGCTGACCCAATTGACGGCCTTGCAAGCAAATTACAATTTAGCTTGTCTGCGGGTGAACGTTTGTAACGACCTGGCGAAAGCCATGAAGGCGTTGGACGGAAAAAAAAAAATTCACCACTCTCGTTGCGACACGGCGTCGTCGTTGTTTGCTTCGAAGTGTTTGGGTGAACGTTATGCCTGAACGGCTGCTCTCTGTGATCTCGGGGATCCTGGCTGGGGGGATCCCTGGTTTCCGCATTGAGCTTTGTTGCTTCTATCACCCTCTTACCTGGCCCCTTTGTGTGGTTCTGTGTTTTCTTTGTTTTGCTTCTTTATCGGTGGCCATTCTCATAATGACACACAAGATGTCATCATGCATGTTATTCCCATAGCTGGTAGCGATCCCACTTCTCTGTGTTTTTGTTTGTTTTGGTTTGGTTGTGTTTGTGTGTTTTTTGTTTGTTTGGTTTCTTTTGTTTTTGGTTTGTGGTTTTTTCTTGCTGGGACAGCTCACTGGAGTGCGTACAGGTCCACGACCAGTACTTTTGTGGCTATCGACAAGTAGACAGCCTTGCATGATAATTACAATTCATCTTTTTGCTACAGTTGAACGTGTGTAAC